TATTTGAGAGTCAAATGTGCCGCACTCTGTGTGAGCTTCCGAAAATGCTGGCTGCAAGTCACTTTTTAATGAGAGATACAGCCTGGCCCTGCATGGTACCAGGAGCATTACAGAGGAAATAAAGGGTTAATGAGCCTCATGATGCTCTATTAGGAATAGAAATAAAAGGGAACATCTCAGGCTCATGTGGAAAACAAGCACAAATGTGCCCTGCTTTCATTACGTTACCTTCAAGACATGCTGTAAGAATCGATTTATGAAGCATTATTTGTACCCAAAAAATAAATAAAGCATTTGTTATATACCAGTCAAGGGCACTTAATGCCGAAGTTGCATGATGTCTCTTTAAAAACAGTGATTTAAACTTTACATAGTGTTCACTCATCCTTTTTTCAGGATACAAAATCAAGCATTTCAGATTTAATGCCTGATCTTTAGAATTGTATTACATCCTGATCAGCTCACGTTCACGTTCAGTCATCTGAAATGTGTGGAAAAACAAAAAATAGATAATTTTAGAGTCACCAAGCATTGCCTACAATTACATGAAGATATCCAAAGAGAGCCTAAACAAAAAATAAGTGTAGTGTAGTAATCGTGTAGTGGTGAGTTTTCTTGACAATTGATAAACCTGTGCACTTTTACTTTAAACTATTAGCTTTGTTTATAACCTACACCAAGGAGGTGAGGGTTTTGGTGAGGTTTGGTTTATTGTTTTGATTGTCAACAGGATTACAAAAAAAATATCCTGAGTGGATTTCTTGGAAGAACTTGGAAGGATGGTAAATGCTCAAAGAACGAACCAATAAAATGTTGAAGCAGATCCAGGAGCTTTATAATTTTAAGAAATAATTTAGGGCACAGAAATGTGAGTGTGTCCAAATTGGTGCAGCTTGATTGACTTTAGGAGGGCTGTTGGGCCTTAGAGGAGGTATGCGCTTCATTGTGTGCCATTCTAGTCTAATCATTTAGCGTGACCAGTGCTCAAAAAGCCTCATGGCTTGTTGGGATTTGCCATTTTTGATTATTTACAGGCCAGAATGCACCAGAGAGGCCCAATTGCGAACATTCCTCATTGAAGAGTGACAGACAAGGCCTCAGCTGATGCACTGTTGAGGTTTCCCTCAGAATAGCAACTTACACCTCAGAGTCAAGCCAGGCTGTCTAGTTAGCACTTCGGCGGCAGCTCTCTGTGGTTCCTCATGACTGGAATGAAAGCTATGCAGCATGACATTTCATCAATATAAGCAGGGTATGCTGAGGGGATTTAATTCATAATCCAGCTGGTTTATATGGGCTCAGGCCTACTCAAGAGCCTATTCAGATGCATTAGAGGTTCTGCATGTGGAAGGACAAGCATGACAGGACATTGGCACCTTTTGGATCTTGTGCTGGTCGATGCTATGCCGGTCCTTTTGAGACAGACACCTCCGACATGTTGTGTTTCAACGTATTATTCTATCCACTGCAGTTTCCACGGTGTGCCATTTTACCGAGGCAGATTTTGTTCACAATCAGAAAACGAAACACTGATCTTTACTTTAGTAGGCATTGTGTTGAAGTGTTGAACAAGTGTAAATTTTGACCTATTGGTGGAGCTAAACAAAAAAATCAGGGGATCCATTTCAAGAGCCATGCTGCTAATGTGGTAAAAAAACAAACAGGTTTCCATGGAGAGAACATAACAGGAATAAATATAGTCAGCTCCCATAAGGAAATTAGACCAGCAACTGCAAAAACAAAGCGTGTTAAAGTCAGCCATGGATGTTTATCATCATAGCTGGTGCACGTTACACATTTTACAGGCAGAAAGTCTACATAGTTTGAATAGTTAAGCGATGAGTGCAAGGAACAATCTGGTGCTTGACCTTGAGAGCATTATTGCCTCATACTTCATTTGATCTTATCCGTCCAAAGTCGCACACTCTTTCGAGCAATGACAACTTATACCAAATAAATGCCATAACCTTGATTACATAATATAATTAGTAATAAGAGACTTGTTCACAACATGTGATACTCATTATTATCCAAGCAAGGATGAAGTTCAACATGGAGTTTCAACAGCGTACCACAGCGAAGACCAATAGGGTATGACTTCTGGCCACATTCCTGTATTAGAGTACAGATTAATAACAATACCTATTACCTACCAACCAAGGTCATCATTAAATTACCTTTATTAGAAATTACAGCCTAGGGTGACAGCTCAAAATGTAATGTGTATCTTTTAATTAGAATCCAACCAACATGCATTTTTGAAGGTTAATGTTGTCACCGATTTCAGGTAGTAAAAAATTCCAATACCAGTATGTCCGGCAATAATATTGGCAATAATTCTTAATATATTCTGATTGAGGCATGATAATATATAGATCACACTTTATTATGAATGAAACAAATACAACCAAATATATAGAAATTTACAGAATTTACAAAATAAACATATAAACACTTTTCTGAATTGCTGATACATCAACCCATCTGGGACTGAATGTATTACTTTACAAATTGCTCCCTAATTCTTTCCTGACAGTTATATGTGCATGGTATCTGTGATGTCAACCAGAAGACTTAGATACCACAAACAAAATGAACCCACAGTCATTTTCTTGTCAGCAACTGTTCTGTGAAAGATGAGCACACTGTCATCAGTAATTACTGCACTGAGAGATAAACTTCACCACTAACTTGTCATTGGTAGCCCTTCCCCTCTCCTTCTGGCTATATTCATCCCTCCTTACCTCATGCAGGGCCCCCCCCCAGCACCCCCACACCACTCCCCCTTAATAATAACCCACCCGCTTTGAGCATCCATCTGGCTGCAAGGAAGAAACCTCTCCTTCAAAGTCCACTGTCGAGGCACAAGCTTGCAGGCGGCAAAAGTGAACGTGTTTTCCCCAAAGGATTGAATATCCAGTAAAACCCAGGAGGCAGCAAGTATATATCGAACCCATAAACCAGTTTCACAGTCTCAGTGGGTGTGAGGACAGAGCTGGAGACAGGTAAACCACTCTTCCTCTCTATTTGTTTGTGTCTTTGTGTGAACAAAGGGCACATCGTGACTGTAAGTCAGACCTCACTTTCATTATGATATCGAGGTGGATTTGAGTTAAGATAAAGAAAGATAGAAAAAGAAACACTAGGGATTTTATTTGGTACGGGGGAGAGGAGTCACAGATTCCTACTTGCGAAAACAAGATCAAAGTTCACTCTAGGTTTGTTGTGCACTGTACTGGACTGGTGGTGTGTAAAAGGTTGATACTGTCTTTCAGTATTCTCTCCTATATTTACCTTTGATTCTCAATCTATAGTAAAATACACACTAATATTGAACAAAATTATCATTTGAAAATGGAGTGAGACAAAATTACTCTCCCTGATTTCACTCTCCCTCATTTTGTCAAATTATCCTGTTGTGTATCACTGCTGTGCATTTACAGTACACTGGTGGATTGACAACATCTAATACTGAGCATCTGACCTCTGACAGAGGAGATCTCAGAGCGGCAATAGTGTGCGGTCAGACGGTGATGATGTTATTACAGGATCTCAGCTAACTATAGCTTTGAAGCTGTGCACCATCAGTGTTTATCTTGCATTCAGTATGATTTGACCTCTAAGTGACCACAGTCTGAAGTTCGTAAGCCTGAGATCCATCCTGAGAATGACAATAAGTGCATAATCTTTCTTTTGGTGTTGTCTAGATTGTTCTTGTTTTAAATGAAGTAAACTAAAGCAATGTATTACATTGTCAATTACCTTATTCTTTGTTGTAATACTATTTTCCATGATTTGAAAAATCGGACTAATAACTTTTTGGCAAAATGACTGCAAGCCATGTAGAGCATTGACACACAACTTGAGTCAGTAAATAAACGCAGATTCTGGTTTTGTTATTGTACTAATGGTTCACTTTCTTTTCACAGGTCACGCTTTTGACAATTAACTTGCCAAAATGTGGAAAAGGGCGAAGAACTCAGGTCCCGGTGTGAGACAAAGTAAACCCTGATTCCAATTAAAAAAGATTCAGCTCATTCCTTTTCAATCTGCACTGATGTACTCAACAATGGTGTCCAGATATTGTAAACTGAGTGGTGTTTTTAACAAGTTCAAAACACATCTTAGTGCATTTTTTAAAGGCTCAGAGCACAGAATTTGTGTGTGCCCCAACTACGTACACAAGAAACATAAAATCCACGAGAGCAATGCAAGTTCACATTTGGCACAAATGTTAGAAGGTGCTCAGTAATAAACTGAGGATCATCATCCCTGGATTAAGACTTCCTGTCTGCTCCCCTTTACTCTGACCCTCTCTATGCTTATGGGTTTATTCAGGCCTTGATTAGTTTTTCCTTTCAACATTAAATCTAGAATCAATTCTTCTCCTACAACATTTCCATCAATATAAGGAAATACCTGCAGGACATAGCCTGCAATTTCAATGAGGCAACAAATTAACTGCTTGTGTTAGGCTTGTATTTTATATAAACATACATATGCCTATAAATTATATGTATAGCACAGTAGTGACCTTGTGCTTCTTACTGATCTTGTGCGACTTCTTTTCACACAGATTTCTCCCTGGTCCATCGATATATTCAACATTTTAATGAGGTGTCTGGCAACAAGTCAGGTGATATGAATGGGCCATTTTATTTTCTATAATACAAATATAAAATGTTTGAGGTTTCCATGCATGACGGCACTCTATCAACACAAAGCTGAGCTGAATCCATTATTATGAACCATGGAATAAATATTGAAAAATTCATTAGGATTATTGAATACCGTGTTTGTTGTTGCCTGTCTTTGTGTTGATAACCTGAACTATCTGTTTACTACCTTGTAACATCAGTCGCCCTCAGTCATGTCTCATAGGGTGATGCTTCTCCCATTTCTGCCCTTGTAGTAATAATCATTAATCCCTGGATTACTGTTTTTCTTCATTGATTTGTCTGTGATCTTCCATCTCTGTGTGTCAAAAGCCTGATAACAAAATGGCCAACGGCAAAGCAGGTATATGCCGGGGATCATAGAGTGGATTTATTGCACTGCCGTTTGAAAACACTGAGTAACTATGTAGCCTGCCCATGTTTTGAATTTGTAGAAAGCTGAAAAGATTAGTAGATTCATTAATAGGTTGGCATCCATGTCATATTTCAAGCTTCTACAATGAGAACATTCTGCTGTGCTTAATTGCTTTTAATTAGATTGGATTAGATCAATTAAATTCAATTAGATTTTTGTTTTACAATTTTAAGTTATAAAGTGCTTTGTTTGCTGGCTTTATTTAGCCCTCATCCGCAGGAGATCCAAGACTCCTGGCGTGATGATCACACAATATGAGGTGAGCTTGCCAGAGGGTAAGAGCACCCCAGATTTCCAGTCTGCACCAGTTCCTGTGACCATCAAGGAAGGTGAGTTTCATTTTATCACAACAGAGCAATACAAATGACATATTTATGCAAACCTCTTAGTTTGGCATGTGAACAAATAATTTGAATTAATGAAGTTCAATTTTATAGACTTTACAGTTAGCAACTGTGAAAATAATCCTGCAATATTTCCACATACATCACAGGGAAATTAGCGGTTTTTAAGGCCATGGTGAGGGGGGACCCAAAACCAGAGGTGTCATGGAGAAGAGCTAAAGGAAATATTTCTGACAAGGACAAATATCAGACTAAATATGAAAAATCAACTGGGGAGTATATATTAGAGGTAAGTGAAGAAATGATTTCACATGCAGTAAATATCCTGTGAATACAGCTCTTTTAGTTTTTAACAGCAAAGTAAAACATCCTTGTATATTACTACATATGTTGTATTCGTTGTGTAAATTCAAACATTTGTTTACTGCATCTGTTATTTATTTTTCCAGATTCACAAAGTGTCTGCTGCTGACACTGATACATACAAATGCTGTGCTGTAAACGAGTATGGCAAAGCCGTCTGCACAGCTACATTAAGTGTAGCTGATGGTAAGAGTTGCTAAAGCAATGCATTTCTAACTGGATACCGAATATTTGTTTTCATTGTGCATGTGAATATGTAATTTCTTCTCATTTGAGGTATTTTTTAAATGGCAAATAAAAATGTATCATTGCAACTAACTCTTACCAATGTATAGATCATCATCCAGAGTCTAATTTATAGTATAACTGAAAAACACAAATCTGAACTGAATTTGCCATTTTCAGCTTCTACAAATCCATCAGATTTCAGAAAACTGTTAAGGAAAAGGTAAGAAAAACAGATATTATGATTATATAATTATAAAACACCCACCTTTATGTGTATATATATATATATATATTATCATTGGTCCTTCTTGGGCCATAAACAATAAGAGCTGTATGAGCGTTGTGTGTTTTGAACATTATCTCTAGTAAAGCAGAGCAAGCAGATGGAGAAACTGATGAAACATTCTGGGATGCAATGCTGGATGCTGACACAAGAGACTATGAGCGCATCTGTAGTGAGTTTGGTGTCACAGATTTGTATATGGTTCTCAAGAAACTAGAAGAGAAGAAGAGGCAGAGGATGGAAAATAAGTGCAAGGTATGAAAACTCTCACACACAATATATCATCTCCAGGTAAATCATCAGTACAGACCCTAAGAACAATCTGTCTTTCCTCTAAAGATATGGCACAGATCACCAAACCAGCCATTTTGTGTGTTGAAACAACAATGTGATGAATACAAGTCATAGTTTAAAAGCAAATTAAATTGCATTTTAAATATTTCTAAGTGATTAAGAAACAACTTTTAAACCCTCATTTCGGGTCATTACATCATTTGCTTAAAGGAATTTAAGCTCTATTTTGTGCCCGCAAACACAACTTAATGAACAGTAAATCACAGTATCCATGGTAATCCCACTGCTTTCATCAAAGTTATCATATTTTATTCAGTGCTACAAAAACTAACAATACACAGTATATTCATATTTTTCCCATAGTCAGAATTTGACTGTTAATTTTGTCTGTAACCTCTGTGTATCTGGCAGGATGGTGCGATTCCCTCTGATGAAAATTCAACAGAGAAGCACAATGTTAATGGTGTTGCAAGGACAAAAGATTTCAGTATAAAGAGCGTGTTACAAGAGAACACAGGGCTGACTCAGCTGGATGTTGAAAAGCTTGACCTCCTCCAAACAGCCCTGAATCAGGCAGATTCTGAAGAAATCAAGCTTCTGCTTACAGAGTTTAAACGTAGGTTCAAGAGGGAGAAAGTGGCATTGAAAGTTAAAAAAAAAAAAACCAATAAGAATCCAATGGTCCAAGTGTCCAATCTCTCACTGTCTTGTCAGTTCCTTAAAACAATGTAATTTTTAAATGGAAAGATTACATGTTTTACTCTTTAAACATATACTATAGGAAGTGCAGTCTTTTTCCCCCCAACAGATAGAAATGTTGAACATGGTTATATTTAGTTTGGTTGATTACGTGAAGATTTTTCTGGACCAGGGTAATGGATACACTACATAACACTTTCCTTTTTTCCCCAGTTTCAAATGTGGACTTTGTTGTCAAAATCCAGGAGATTAAAGCACAGGAAAGAGAGGATGCCCTCTTTGAGTGTCTCCTGACACACCCACTGCCCAGTATTACATGGATGGGAAAGGGCAGCACTCTGGAGGATGGAGAAAAATACAGCATAACAGTGTCAGACCATAAACTGATCCACAGGCTGTTGATCAAGGACTGCATGCAGCTGGACAAAGGCATCTATTCAGCTGTGGCTGGCATTACTTCCTGCAACGCCTGGCTCGTCGTGGAAGGTAACACTTTACAGAACAGTGCTGCAACAATAAATTTATGTGATAACTGTGACTTTCACAAATAAATGAGAGTTATGTGTCGTCATGTTTTAGCTGACAGTGACCCCACACCTGCCTGTAAGAAGAAACCTCGTAGAACAGCCGTGGCGGGTGGGGCACAGATCGACCTTGACAAAGTGGCCAAAGAGCAACAAATGAAAAACCAAGAGGAGATGGAGAAGATTTTAGCAGCTGTTAAGGAAAAGTACGACGAAGGACAACTCAAAGGACAAAGTAGATCAACCAATGGTGGAAGAGATGCTGGAAGAGATATTGGAAGAGATGCTGAAATAAATGCGGTCACTGGTCTGGGTAAAAACGCAGGAGCAGTAAAGGACAAGGTTGACGCAGCAAAAGCCATTGCCCTGTCTGAGCAAACAGGAAGCAAAGGGAGCAAAGGGAAAGCAAAGAAAAACAACTCAAGAAGAGATGGCAAAGCATCAAAATCGAATGTTCCCGGGAGCGTAACAAAAACAGGAGCGATGGTAGATGGCCCAGAGAACGAGAAATCTGATCAAGTGGATTTTGACAAGGTAACAGGTAAAGTCGATCTATGCCCAACAATGCATTTCCTCCATCAGCACTTCAGTGAGTAATCGGTGCAGCTTAATACTTGTGTGTATGTTCGAAACATGCTATTTTAATTATTTCAAAATCAGAAGACTGGACTGCACGAGTGTGAGGCAGAACGAGTCAACATTAAAAAAAATACATTCATATTATTAGTATAGTAGAGGGGATCCAAGCCACCAAAAATAATACAATTTATGTCAGCTTTGGATATCATTGAGAATGGCTGGCTCGCAGAAAGAAGGATGTGGGAGTTTGTATGTTCTCCTCATGCCTGCGTCGGTTTTCTCTGGATTCTCCATGTTCCTCCCATAGTCCAAAGACATTTTATTTGGAGAATCTTAATTGCCCACAGTTGTAAATGTGAGCATGAATGGTTATTAATCTTTGTACATTTGCCGTGAGGTGACCTTTCCACGATGTACCCCACTTCTCGCCCAATGGGAACTAGGATAGAATAAGTGGTATAGATAATGGATGGATGGATATCATTGGGAATTCCAAGCTTGAACTATTTTATTATAACTGACATACCACAGATGCAGATGAAGGAGAATATTCTGAGGAGAGCGGGGACGTCAGTGAATCCAACGATAATTCGAGATTAAAGAATGGTCAAGAGAGTGAAGGTAATGTATTAGGAAAAACCCAACCTGATAAAATGGTACTTCTTTTACTTCTGAAGTATTTATTCTTTTGATTAAATTTTGTGTGTGTTGAGCTAAATTGCAAAAGCACAGATGTAACCCAGATTCAAATATTTGCCACAGGTCGAATTGAGGTGACAGATCCCGATGGAAACATAGTGAAGTCTAGCAGACGCTCAGAGCAAACAAAGAAGGTCCATTGGAAACATCAAACCTCTGGTGAGACACAACAGGGATTATATTGTATTTGGAAGAGAGAACAGTAATACAACTGACCAAAGATTAGTCATACCTGTCTGAGATATACTGTATAGTACCGAGAAAAAGGAAAAGTGAAACAACAGGCTGAGACTCAAGCCAAGAAAATAATAGATATAGTTCCTGAAATCAAGTGCAATTAGCAGAGTGAGCATCTGGAACAGCACTAATGACACCACTTTCTCTTTCATTAGCATAAGGTAGTTTTAAATGATGAAAAAAAAGGAATCACCAGACTGGTAAGGAAAGTCTGTTTTGTTCCAAAAATGAATAAATTAAATAAAATGTTCTAAAGAAAAACTCTACATGATTCTGATCAGTTTTTGTCGTAGGTTGGATGAGAACTAAGCAAGGTGTCTTTTAGTCTTTGTTGCTGTGCTGCTGGTTTAATTTTAAAGATGTGTCCTCACACCTCCAATGTGTTAAGTGAAATGTGTACAACCCAACCTCTGTGTCTCCAGAGAGAGAGAGAGATCAAAACGAACAAGCAAGTGACTATGAAGAAAGTGACAGTGATGACAACGAGGAGCCGACTGATGAAGTCAAGAATCCAGATCTTGCAAAGCAAAGACAACAGCAAGCCAAAGCAGACAATGGTAAGAGATGGAAAGTGGTACATTAAAGCGTGGAGGCGTCAGACAATAACATGGATCTTTTATGAAACAGATGGTTCCACAACATGTTCTTTTATCTGCGGAACACAAACTTGTCAGCACTAAACCTGTATGATCTTGTTGTGTATTGGCAGAGATTGCTTTCTGTATGTTTTCCAGTACGATTATATCATGTTATGGTTAGGTGATATGATTTTACAAAAACTATATGACCATTGATACGGCTTCTATTAATTTGGAAGCAAAATTTTAAAAAACTGTGTGTAAAGCCATGGCTTGAATATGTCTTAAAGAACTCAGTGAGTGTGAGGAGATGGACGATGCCACTGATTCTGTCAAAAGTAAAAGGCGTAAAAGACAAGGTCCACTGATAGAAGACCTGGTGATTGGTGAGTAAAGTGTCATGACTCAATGACAGTAATCTATTACTCGATTATACTGCATTAACATAGTGACCTTAACTGTGTATTTAAAGGTCAGGATTTTTTATAACATGAATTCATAAGATGTTTCTATATCTTATTAACAGGGCTGATCAGTCACAATCCCTTCCCTCTACAATTCTTATGATGTACTTTGTGAATAGTAATAATAATTTTATATTAATTCAAAAAGTGTTTTGTATTGGGATTATAGATTGAAAAAGTGAAACGAACCATCAGGATATAATAAAATTTCCAAAGGTTCCCACACCTACTTATTATGACTGGGAAGGTGGGGAGTACTGTTGTACAACCTTGTATGAGGGTTTATCTTCTTATAAATATATTGCCTGACAGTTATCAACTGTTTATGATAGATCCAGGGGTCCATTTCATCTGTGGATTGTCTGATGTCAGTGCTATCATCAGTGAGAATGCTGAATTAACATGTAAGCTCAGCAGTGGAGACTGTGACGGAGCCTGGTTCAGAGACGGAAAAAAGGTTAGTCCTGCAGGTAAAACTCATCATTTTCTTACAGTGTTGGTGTCCATCAGGAAAATATGGCCTGGGGAGCTAAAGCTGCTACGATTCATTTGATCCTAGAAAATATCACCAATCAAATGATCTGATGTGAAATGGGGAGACACACCAGTGTTAGTTTGAAACATAGACTGTGTGTAAAGATTGACAAGATGACTGCTCCCCAAAAGTGAAGCAAAAGCATCTTTATCGCCCCTTAGTGGCTGGCAGCAATATAGGGCATAAACCTATTGTTTCCCACTGCTCCTCCCACTGCTCCTCCTCCTCACATTTGCTGTTCACTTCTCACATGTGGACTTTCAGGAAAAGTTAAATAAAAATATTTAAAAGAAAAAAGTACATATGTCATTATTTTCTTTAGAGATAATCAGTTGCCACTGTAAGTGAATCACAACAGGCTTCATACAGTATGTCATCTGAGATTTAACTCAAATACCAGGCAGATGTTTAGTCACTGGGTGAGACACACCACAGCTGGACATGAAGTCCTTTGGAGTATGCACTGTTTCTGATCTGAATGACTAATTAACTCGCAATTGTTTCTCCTCGATTCTCATCTGTCATCTGCCCGCTTTCCTATCAGATATCCCCAGATGACAATTTCATTATCACTAAAGATGGTGCGATCCATAAATTAATGATAATCAGGTGCACGGAGGAGCACTCTGGGAAATATCGCTTTGAAGCAGATGGTCGTAAAACAGAGGCGATGATCAACGTCAAAGGTTTGAGAATTCATCACGATAACATTTTTGATAATATGCGGTATAATAAGTTTAAAGTTATATTTATAGACATAGGTTAGAAGTTGTTGGTATGAAATCAGATAACAACTAAATACCATCTCAACGCTAAACAACCCTGTGTCCCCCTTTTTTTAGATCCTCCAAGGTTTGACTGTGAGGACCTCAGTGCCTTCACTGAGCCTGTTATCGTCAAAGTGGGGCACAACGCCATCTTCAAACTGCATTTTGTTGGCCATGAGCCCATCAAGATTCAGTGGTACAGGGAGGGGGATGAGCTCCACGATGACAGCAACACAAAGATAGAGAGATTTGCGAGTCACAGCCGCTTGCTCCTCAGCAGGTGCCAGAGGAAGGAAACAGGAGAGATCAAGATCAAGCTCAAGAACGAACACGGCTTTACTGAGGCTATTTCACAGCTAATTGTGCTTGGTGAGTGGATGAAGGACGTTGCAAAATTTAACCAGAAAATATTGGATATTTTTCTTAAGCTCAACACAGGTAAAATATATGACTGTAAACATTATAAGACAAATTCCTACTAAATGAGGGAATGATTAACTCTGCATCCAACTCCTTCAAGAAAGTATTATCTTTAGAATTATAAGATTTGTGCAGTAAACCTCATCGTCATATGTACTTTGGTGCTGTTACAAAAACAGCAAGCACCAGTATGCTGCAATGTTTCAGAGCTCATCACCATAACTGTTACAACCTGGACATATTATGTGCTTAATTTAAAACTGCTGCTCTCCAACTATCCATCAAGATTGCATCTTGTTCTACTTTAAGCAGAATCTCAGAAGCCAGCGAGAATGTGACAGGTTAAAGATGCTTTTAGGAAATGCAAGTCAGAGCTTGACAAAAGCAATTATGATCTAACTACACCTGTCATTGCTGCCAGCATCCCAAATGTCAAATATGACTATGATTATCTTTCAATGAAAATAATGTTTCCCTCATATGAATGTGGTATTTGTGTTCTCAAGCTTTGTCAAATGTAAAAATTTCTATACGTTTCAGACAAACCCTCGTCACCTCTGGGTCCTGCAGAGGTAGTGGAGAGCTCACCTACGTGTATTGAATTTAGGTGGCGGCCTCCCAAGGATGACGGAGGCTCACCGGTGATTAACTACATAATCGAGCGTCAGCAAGTGGGTCGAAACACCTGGAAGAAAAGAGGCGAGATCCCAGGTGTGCCCAGCTTCCGTGATATAGACGTAGAACATGGCCGGAAGTATTGTTACCGCATCCGAGCGGTGACTGCGGAGGGAACAAGTGAAGTTATGGAAACTGACGACATGCAAGCTGGCACTCTGGGTGAGCAAAACTGATGTCACATCATCTGAGATTTCACTAAAAGTTAAATGTGAGATAAATATGTTGATTTTAATGGCACAGAAGCCTGAAACTGTGCAAAACTTAGGCCGGACACACAAACAGGACAATCTTGCTGTGAGTCAGTTCAAACCACGGAGCCACCTTGTTGAACACTATGTGATGTGCAGTAATACGAGGACACTAAAGGCTAAATGCACCTCGACTTTCAAACGATAAAACATGATGATAAATGAAACCACTTTCTCACAAGCAATACCAAACTCTGATTGCCATTGAATGAGCCAAGAAAGTCGCACTGAAAAAGAAGCAAAAGCTACACTTCACATCCCACAAAGAATGCAACCACTGTCCCTGGGCGGACCAAAACCTGTCTGAGGTACAATTTAAAAATGTCCTCTTCCCTAACCCTATGAATCAGTCACAGAGAGAAACAATTTACACCTTTTGATGGCACAACAGCCAACTAATAAAAAGCCAGCTGAAAAGGCATAAGCTTAAATCAACACTGCACAATAACACAGGTCCAGTACGGCACAGCGGCCAATCACAAAACAAGCATAAGACAAATGAGAATGGCTTGAGCTTACGGTTTGAAGGTCTGCTTGAATAAGAGGTCCATGTCGCACTCTTTCTTGGAGGAGTTGGTGTGTTGTATTAGTTTTCCATGGGGACCTTCCTCAGAAACAGGGGAAATAAGTCCTCTCCAAGTCATGATCCACTTTTTCTCCACAAGCTGTTGGAAATGCAAGATAGCATTGAGCACTGGAGAGGCCTAGCAGCCTTCACTGTCTAAATGTCAGATTTACTACCAGAGGTTTAGGCCTCATCTCTGTAGCTTCTTGTTTTCCTCTAAAATCTGGTTCTGACAAGACCTCAGCTTTTATTTATTTATTATAAGGAGTTTTTGTGAGTAATTTGTTAATAACTCATCATGATTTAAGTCAATAATTCGTCTGAACAGTCCCCATACAACCCAGTTTGCTATGGTAGCATTTGGCACCATTTTAAGCATGCTAATATCTAACATTAGCTTAGCTCACAAACACTATAGGCTCATAATTTTTAGGCTAACATAAAACCAAACGCTAAAAAACTGGCGTGGTGAAGACTTTATAACGTTTTTAACGGTCGTTAAAAGAGAATAGGGGTTTAGGGGTTCATTTGGGGCTTTTAGCATTAGCCTAAGTTGATGAGCAAGGGAAAAACAACCTGGTTCGCCGCCTGTCTTCGTCGACACTCTGACACCTTTGAAGGACGTTTGAAAACACTCACCTCTGCTCTGAAGACGTTTTATAGCCACATACACTGGGAAGTATTCGTGTGTTAACTCTGAGAGCCTGAAACACAGCGACCACGAGGCTGAGGACGAGTGACTGGATCTGTGCACACGACACAGGTGCTCCCCACCTGTCCAGGGGGGCGTACACTACTTCTAGCGCAATGGCAGCTGGGATTTACTTCAGCCCCGCCCCTTGACCCTCGACCCTGGATAGAGGATGGATAAGAGGATGGATGGACAGATGGTTAGGTGCATGGATGGGCAAGAGGATGAATGGATAGATGGATGAATGAGAGGATGGATAGATGGTTAGGTGGATGGATGGACAAGAGGATGAATGGATAGATGGATGGATGGACAGATGGTTAGATGGATGGATTGATCGATCAATGGATAAATTGATGGATGGATGAGAGGATGGCAAGCATGGACTCATGGACTGTAAGGGGACAGAAGAAATACCAGCAGAGACTTTCAGAGAGAATTTATAAAAAAAAACCTTTATGTTAAACAAAAAACAACATAGATAATGTATATTTCACTGCATCTTCCATCTGAACTGCACCTGACTATAGGGGGAGTGACATAGACTGCTTTAAGGATCTATGTTGATCTAAAAACACACTCAAAAATGTCTTAACAACTACATTTACATCAAGTTGAACTCACTCAGACTTATAAAAATATGGACTAAGTTAATCAGGATTGACTTTTCGTGAAAACACAAAAAAATGTCACTTTCACGGCCATCAATCATTTCTTTTAACACCACCTGTGTTTTTCCTTCAGTGTCATATCAAAAATCTGTTGCATAAATAAAAAAGACCCATTTAATCATCAGCTGATTGAGTCACTGCTGCCCCCTGCTGTGCAGCATTAGCCATCAGCCTGGTCTGTACTGTGTGTCCTCTCCAATGCATTGTACATCTCCAATGAAAGAGACATAAGTAAATACCAATCATGTCATTCATTTGAACTGAGCAAGAGTAATATGGACAATAACAACATTAAGAATAACAATAAAAAAGAAGATTTCAACTTCAACTATTGGAAAGACCTGTTTTTTTACTCTTCAGCGTTTCCCGGGCCTCCTGCACCCCCAAAGGTGGTCAGTGCCTACGACGACTGCATCAACCTTTGCTGGACTTCACCAATCAACACAGGAGGTTCCCGTATCCTGGGTTACATTCTGGAGAAACGCAAAAAGGGGAGTAATCTCTGGACAGTGGTCAACGCCGTGGATGGGCTGATAAAAGGTTGGCCTCTTTTTGTTTTTAAATTTCACCCTGATTCAAGCTGCCAGTGTTTCAGTCCGTGACGGTGAGTTTTTGTTGTTGCTCTTTCTGTAAATGTAACCACAGAGAAGAAATATGGCGTGAAGGATGTTGTAGCAGGTATGGAATATGAATTCAGAGTTACTGCCATAAACCTCTCAGGACCTGGTGAATCTAGCAACCCCTCGGAGTTTGTTTTTGCACGGGATCCCAAGCGTAAGTGTTGCAATTGTTTCTCATGCAACAATAAACCACAAATACCAAATAAAGAAGGATATGAAACAATAGAAATGTTTGAAGATATTCATTAGTGGACAATGAAAGAACCATATATTTACATGTCATATTCTTTATGTGTATCCCAGAGCCTCCCGGTAAAGTTACAGGCCTGAAGGTGACAGAAACATCTTACACCCACCTGGTCCTGACTTGGACTAAACCTGAGGAGAAACCAGGGATACAGGATGAAGCCAAAGGATATTTTGTAGAAATTCGACAGGCCGACTGTATTGAATGGTCCCGCTGTATCAGCATCCCGATCATCATGACTTCCTTTAGTGTGAAAGGCCTCAAGTCCATGGAGATGTACTGGGTGAGGGTGATTGCGATTAATGATGGAGGAGAGAGTGCACCCGAGGAGCTGGCCAACTACGTGCTTGCTATGCCCTCACCAGGTACAAAAACTCTTCTTGCTGGTTGCATTTTGAAGAAAATCCATTCTGTCTTTGTGCAAGATCTCGCTGCTCTTGTCCTCTCTCTCTCTCTCTCTGTATTTTAGATTATCACACTTTCGAAATCTCCTGAAGTTTAATATTGTCCAAAGCCATTTTTATTGATTTTTTTCATTTCAGTGAGGCCAAAGTTCACAAACCACAAGATGAAGAGTTTTGTGGTCGTCAGGGCAGGAAACTCTGTCAGGATCACAGTTCACTTTGAGGTGAGATTCACATATCAACTTTATTACCGTCACATTCTTTTTCAAACCATAATACTCAACAGGGGGAGAAACCCAAAGGACACTGTATACTAAGATATCATTAATGTACTTTCTACCAGGCCTCCCCACGGCCAACTATCGTGTGGCTAAAGGACAACGTGCCAGTGGCAAAGCGAGCTACAATAAGCAACTCTGACGGCTCATCTCAGTTGCTGATCCCCTCCTCTGAACGCTCTGATTCTGGCATCTACTCGATCCTGGTGAAAAATCTCGCAGGACAAGAGACATTCAGTACAGAAGTCAGAGTCACAGGTAAGATTTAGAAGATTTAGCCACATACATTTCAAATTTCCATTTACAAATGGACCAGCAGCCAGTTAAAATGATTGTATTTACAGATGATCCGAAGCCTCCTGGTCTGGTGGAACTGGAGGAAAACGTGCCCGGCACAGTGACGGTGATGTGGGAACCATCTCCTGATGAGAAGCGCGATGACCGCCTCCACTACACAGTGTCCAAACTGGACTCCACCAAAAACACCTGGACCACAGTGGCTGACAGACTCTTCAATAACAAGGTCACAGTCTGCAATATCATGCACGGGAGGGAATATCATTTCCGGGTCTATGCCAAAAATGACATTGGCATATCTGCACATTCGGAATCACCGACGTGGGGGATGGAGAAGAAGAAACGTGAGTTGTTACATCGCAGCCTCCAAGAGAAAATATTCACCTCTGAGATAAAATATAATTTCACTGTGACTCCTCTCTTATAGAAAAGTTTGTGGTGAACATAGCGACCATGAAGGACTGTGATCTGCGATGTGCTCCAACTTTCATCGTCCCCTTGAAGCTTCGCACGGCACCCAAAGGCTACGAGTGCTACATGAGCTGCGCAGTGAAGGGAGATCCCACACCTCGTATCACGTGGTATCGAAATCACATCAGTCTGAACACTAACACCAACTATTACATCTCCAACACGTGTGGGGTTTGCTCCATGTTGATCCTCCGCGTGGGCCCCAAAGACGTGGGAGAGTACACCATCACTGCAGAGAACAACCTGGGCCGGGCTGAGAGCTCCACCATCCTCAGTGTCAGAGGTGAGACTGCGACACAACTTTAATCTAAAGAATAGGTGAGAAAGAAAAGCATACAGCATGATGTTAAGTCATTTTCCTCTATTCCTTACAGAGTGAAGAAACTAAGGACGCCACAATCTAAGCATGATTTATTTTAAAGTTTATATATCTCATACAAAATATTTGAATTGAAGTAGTTGTGGTGCTTGGATTGAATTCACCAACTGTGATAAGAAGAAATGAGGTATTTGAGTGTTTCTGAAATAAAAATAAAATGACTTCAGAAATGAAATATTGCTTTCCTGCATGGTTCAGTGTGTTCGAAGATGAAAATCAAACAATCACTGCAGAACAGGGTGATTGTTGTAAATTGATGTGAACAGATATGTTCCAGTAATGATACTGTGGGGAAATACATTTTATCAAAGGGTCTGTTTGTTCATGGGTTTTGTTGAGCTCATCATCCAACCAATCCACACTGTATCTACAGCATATAATCAACTGGTGAGTCGTTTTGACAAATTGCATTAAAAATATTGTAATAAAATGTCCATATAAAAGCAATTTTCATCAGGATATGATTGAAATTATAGCTGAATATTAAAGTAGATTCACCAGGTTCAATGTATAGTTTTTACATTTGAACTTAATTCTTTATTTCTTTATTCTTATTTGTTTCTTTATTCTACCGGTTTTGATAATGACATACATAGAAAACTGTAAAGACAATTTATACAGTTTCAGTATGATTTCAACACACACACTCACATCCAGACTTCACTTTTGTCCAGTTTAACAATGAAGTAGACATATTTAGCACATTTTATCACCATGGTTACATCACCAAATAACAACTTGCAGCAGTGCTTTCTCAGCCTTTACAGCTTGTGACCGCTCTGATCAACATTTACCTATTTCCCACACTGTAACTCTTATATCGTCTCATTATTTGTGACCCAGACAGAGCAAAAGACTGAAGTGATTTTACCTTTTGGATGATCCAGCTGTTAAGTTCTCCTGTCCTGAACAAAACAAGATGCAAGAAGAAGGGAGGTGAAGGAGGTGGACCATAGACTATAGACTGTTATGCCAGAACCTATTAATAAAGTAATTCTCAATATTAGATCATAGATATATTTGCATTGACAGTGATGGAATCAATACAATCTGGCGAAAGAAAGAAAGAGTTATCTACAGTTCAATAGATTTGTTGCCACTGTATACAGTTTCCCTCTGGATCTATGAAGTATCTATCTATCTAAGAAAACCTATATATAAAAGGAAAATCCCAGGTGTTAACATTAATGGTAGAAAGAAAGAAAGAAATGTATAGATTGTTATAAAGTCAGTTTGACATCTGAAGCTGAAGGTAACCTTTCAGGGAAATGTGGCCTTTCTCATATCTGTGTGAATCCACTGAATTAGTTTTACAGCCGAGCACTCAAAGAACAGTCGGAACCAAACCAGGGAAAGACAGTGCTCCTTCTTTGACAGCCATTAGCTTCTCTCACAGCTGAGTCATATTCTTGTGTGGCACATGTAGCAGGGCCTCAGTAAAAATAGCACAGTGGCTCAGCACCGGACAAACGTGTAGTGTTCTCATTAGATGACAGCAGCGCACATGGTGGTGGAGGCTCAGCCACTCCCCGTGTGGGCCCGGCCCCCTGCTCCTCCTGCTCCCACTGAACACGCTGCTCACTGCGCACGCCTCCCTCTCTCCTCCTCTCTCCGGCTGCTGCTGCTCCTCACCATCAAGAAGTCTCTCTCTTCTTTATTGTGCCGTATTAACGCGAGGCTGTATTTTTTTGCAGCGACGCGAGGTTTATTGCGTAAAATCTTGTGCCTCTCTCCACGATTCTTTTGTTTCTGACCCTGCGCTCTCCTTGACTATCACCTCTCCGTCCGGCTGGAACACGGTGTCCTCTGGGGGTGGAAATGACGGCCAAGCATCGCAAACCGAAAAACAACCACAAACACGAAGATAACTTTTTCAAAAATGAAGTGGTTGAGTCCGAAGCCCGCGCCGGGGGCAATAATTACGCAGCGCTGCTGGTTTTATTCCTGATGATCGTGATTGGCGGTGCCGCTGGCGCATGGCTGTGTCTCCAGCAGCACCAAACTTTAACCCACCTGACAGACAACCTCACGGCCATGCAGATGAAGGTTGTGAAACTCCAGTCATCCCATGAAGAAATGCGACAGTCCAGTAATAAGGTAAGGACCAGAAATCAGCATCTTATCAGAATAAGCTCACCTGAGTTTGAGCAGCACCACACGCCTCCTCCTCCTCCTCCTCTGATCGCCTGCTGAAGACAGCACGACTCTTATTCAAGTGATTATATGCACCAACACTCATAGAGAAGGAGCAGGCCTCAGGACATACCAGCAGTGCATGTCGCCACTTTCAAGCATGGAAAGTTAAGAAGAGCAGGCCTCTATCAGATTTCTAAATGCCAAGAGCCTCACTATTTCTAACATCCACACAGCTGCTCACGCTTGTACTGAAGATTATACCTGACCTACAACTGCAGGGACTTTATCACCTACTCAGATATATTAGATCTAATAAGGAAAGTGTGTGTTGTACCAGTAGAGTGCAAAATAATAAAACACAAGACCACAGTGTGCCATGGCTAAATTTAGCCTGTTATTTTACACTGAACACCAGTTCAGAGGCTGTGTACAGACCGTCAGATCAGGCAGGGGTGATTGTTTCATTTGTATTCCTGAAATCACACTGGTGCAGGCATCCATGCATTTTCAATGTTCTAGTTTTTACGGTGACCCAACCTGTTATGTGACTACTCTGTGTTTTCTGAGGCTATGTTATGAAACTTTAAGTTGCTTCAGGCATCTCTCAAGCGAACTAATTTTTTTTTCTCAAGCACTTCAATTAAAACAAATGCACTCCTTTCTTTTTCTTCTCTTATGCAACTCCACCTTTGTTGCAGCCGAAGCAGTGTGGCAATCATGACAGCAGCTCTGCCAGCTCAGTCTTGTTAGGGAAATATTTCCTGTGTGAGCGGTTAATAGTTTTTTAATTTCGTGACGCACACGTTTGCCAGTTCAGTTGCAAAGTTTGAATGATTTTTACTGACTTGAGTTTAGGTCCTGATAAGCATGAGTGAGGAAAAACATTTTCCCCAGCTACTTCTACTGCAGTACTTACAATAGTTTGTTTCATATGAAGATTAGTTTTATTTTCCTCCCTGTTTGCCATGTTTTACTGAGCTGTACATACATGCAAAGCTCATCTTGATTGGTTTTCAAGGTTCAGAGTTTGGGTTCAAACATCTCCTTCCTCGGAGCATTGAATTTATTGACAGCAGATGTTATGTGATGCAACGAGAATTTAAACTAAACTAAAATGATAAAATTGTTTGCCGCTACAGCCCATGCATACAGCAGTAGACTTAGGGCTTGGCTTAGGACAATACTCCATTTACTTTATGCACTCAGGCACTGCTAGATGTGGAGGGAGCAATATAACATTTGAGTTAATTTCAATAAAGGCCATAAAACCTGAACATAAAACCTCCCTTAGCATCCCAGAACTTATGAAACACAATTTCTATATGATTTTTTAAAGATTTATAATTTGATTTTATAGTTTGTAGTCAACATCCCTCCTGTGTGTCTCCTTTCAGCAGCACATGTCGGAGAGTGTGGAGAACCGTCTGATTGCACTGGAGGAGTCTTATGCACTGGCCCAGAAACAGGTCGGCATGGCCCTGGCTACGGCTGAGCAGCTCAAGATGACAGACCTCCCCTCTCAGGTGCTTTCCCTCCACACAGAGATGAAAACCCGCCTGGCCGAGATGCAGCAAGCCACAGTTTCCCAGGAGCAACTGGGCCAGCTGCAGACCATGATGAAGGAAAAGAGCGAGGAGTTTGAGGACGTCAGGGTTCAGGTGGAGGGTCTGACCTCTCTGAGCGCGGAGCTGTCTCAGACGGTGGAGGCCTTAATGGAGAGCCTGGGAGACGCAGAATCCAAGCTGGAGGAGAAAGGTGGGCTGCTCACCACACTGAGCACGGCCCTCATCGAACAGGCTGCCGAGGTGCTCAAACTGAAGGAGCATGTGGACGCCCAGCAGGCTCAGCTGATGGCCGGCACACAGGAGGTGGCGACTGTCAGGTAAAAGAAAAACAGCAGAGAAAATATCTCGCCTCCTCTGACCCTTGACTTTATGTTGACTTTGTTAAATCCTGTGGACGGCCTCTGTCACAGTCTGGGCCAGAGTTGGGAGGCCTCACGATCACACTGTGATCTGTGTCAACATTGATAGTGTATTGCTGATTTTGGAGTTGAATGTTGAATGCATAATTTTCCATCTCTCTGAAGCTTGAGTAAACATCATTGTTACACATGTCAGGCAATGTTATGCTGCCTTTTCCCCCACTTGGTTAATATATATATAATAAATATCATGCTTAGCTTCTGTCCACACATATAGTCATAGACTGACAGTGCATGTTTTCTGTGTTTCAGAGAGTTGCTGGAGAATGAGCAGTCCCAGCAGGCCAGTGTGGAGGAGCAGCTCAGCACGGTGCATCAGAGTCTGCAGGAACAGAACTCAGCGGCCCAGAGTCTGCACTCTGAACTCAGGGCTCAGCTGGAGAACATTCAGGAACAAGTTACCCAGGTAACCAACACAAAAGCCAATCAGATCTAGACAAGACATTACACACAGAGGTCATTCAATGACATGATAGACGTGTACAACTATTTAAAAAGAAACAAAACACACAAGAAACAGTATAAAAGCACAAATATTAAGCCTGATTAAAAATTGCAGTTTCATGTTGAGGGTTATTTTTATTTTAACTTTTTCTTTTCTCTTTTCCCGTAACCATATGCATCCGTCATACCAGCATGATTTTCAAGCTGCGGTTGCCAGGAGCAGTTAGGCGCCATTAGCTTGATGTTTCTCACATCAATTGCTGTCAAATTAAGAATTATTGTCCCTGCGTGTGATTTAAAACATCTCACACAACTGTGTCTGTATTCGCTTTTTCTGTCCCCTGATTTTTATTAATAGATCAAGGTAGCTAGCGAGCTACGAAAACCGAGGACGTTTATCTGCTCTGCCTGCTCCATTCTTTATCCATCTGGCTCAAATAGCTATCCATGCTGAATACTGAGAATACATGTGTCGATTTTAAGGTCTGAACAGAGATTGGATTCCATTCCGTGAAAAACTTCATGCCAAAATAGGTCACGTATTTAAAAGACTGAGCAGGTATAAAACAAGTTCTCAAAATAGACAGTTGGAGGCTATTTTGATTCAGTACATTATGTACAATGTAGTACAGTACAATGTGGAATGTATGGCAGATGTCGTAGCACACACACTGTCAGCACACATGGTCTCTTTACTATTCCTGTTCGCTTTGTGCCCAGAGGGAACAAAAATGAGATTTCCATCTCATCAACTTGAAATTAATTGCCTGGCCGTGGATTCTCTGATGATTCAACACATGCATTCATACAGAATGGATCATTGTTGTGTGTGTGCACCTCATTGAGACACCTACACACTCAGACCAGTAAAGTGTCCACACTCTATCTAATGCATTTTTATTGCTTTCTTTGACGTAGCTGGCGCTTGATGTGCATCCTGCTGAAGAGCCTGTGCAACAGACAGTCGAAGAAGAAGCAGCTGCTACAGATGAAGCGCCTGTTGAGCAGGAGGTCCCTGTCGCTCCTGCAGAGGAGGTGAAGGAGGAGGAGGAAGTGGAGATGACACAGGAGAGCCAGGAAATAGCAGAAGGAGAGAAAGTTCTAGAGGAGTCGCCCGTCGCGGAGGAGAGTGAAAAGGCAGAAGAGGAGGTAGAGAAGGAAGAGCCGCTGCTGGAGGAGGCAGATGAGGGAGAGGAGCCGTTAGAAAATGATGCTTTACCGCAGAATGAATGTAAGTGATAAATAATGGATTTTTACACTGCAAATGATAAATCACAAACTCTTACATCTCCTGACATTTTCCTTTTCATGTTTTACAGAGGTTTTTCTGGACACACTCAACCAAGGAGGATGGGGAACTTTCTCAGTCTAAAGACACTGTCTACAATAAGACGAATTCTCTAGGCAGGCTTTATAGATCGCTGCTGTTTAGGTGCTGTCTTCACTGTGTGGTTGCTCTTTGAAAGGCAGACAAAACCAGAAGAGCTCATTCACTGTGCTGGAGCTGGAACATGAAATACGACATGGCTGTTTATGTTTGAAAACAACTAATTCAGGATTTTTTTACTTGCAAATAACGATCTCAGAAGCCTTAATTCATACAAAGTGACTGTCTTTCTATAGAGCATTTTCCACTCTTCATAACTTGCACTTTTTTTTTGTCAGGGTTAGGTCTGTACTAAACTGGAAAACTGCAAACCAATGACACAACAAGAACTGTTTATCAGTGCACTTGAAGCCATGAGAAAAGCCTGTCTCTGTGACATGAAATATGTGTCTTGTTGTCACTGCCTGAAATGTTTTTTATTAAAGATAAATGCAGAATAACAGTTATTGAATCCCAGGTGTTTACACAGGAAAGCTTAAGAGCAAGCAGAAAAGAAAAGGAGATACAGAAGTCTTGGATGTGTTTAAAGTATATACTAGCTGTAGTTAATAGTTTTTTTTACTTTATAAAGTACATATCTGTGGTTCAGTACTTAATATGAAAGGATTTCTTGATATAGTTTGGCCTTTTTTTTTGCACTTTTTTAATCGGTTACACTTCGAGCCACACAGAACAACGCTGCAGTATTATAAGTTACAAACGGGTCTAAAAGCTTGAACCTCCCGAAACTGGTTTCATCAACATTGTCCTACGGCTTTAATTTATAAGAAAATGCATTTTATAGGTAGTTCAGACCTTTTAGTGTCATTGTGCGTCTTTAATAAATAACCACAGGTATTCAATGCGTTAACTATGGAAAAAGTGTTGGTAACTAGAAGAGCTTAGCAAGGCACCTCAGGGACAAACTGTTGTCTACATGTGTGATTTTTACCGAAAATGAGCCCAACAACAATCAGACCTAAACCGACCAACTAAAGCTCACTATACTGCACCAAGTTAACATGTTCAGTCAGAAGATGGCTGACAAGTTGCAGCTAATGAAGGAGATTCAAGACCACGTCTTTGACATCAGTCTTTTTGTTTCAAAATGTTGAAAACCAGAAAAATCAAATACTTGACTTCAGATAAATCCAGGTTTAACCTTTCCAGTTTGTAAATGCAGAGTTATATGAGAGGCGAGTGCATCAACCAAACAGGACGACTGTTCCTTCTGACCTCATGGCTTCAGTTTCTAAGTAATAAGAGAGTCTGAAGTCTGAGAGAGGAGCTGCTGGACTTCTCCTACACTGATCTCATGTGTGAAACAGGAGAAACACAACAACATACAATGACTACGCAACAGGACTTTTTCTGTGATGTTTGGAAGACAACTAGAATAATGTGAAAGAAAAATCACTGCAGGAATACGAGCTGTGTCTCGAGCAAATAGACATATCAAATATTAACATCACATGTAGTGTTATGACAAATGTTTGTGGAGTTCATTTCAGATAAGGGATTAAACTGTTCTCTGTAATACAGTAAAATATTTGGACATTACTGTAGGTTTTTTGTTTTTATTAAAACTAATATTCACATTTACGCAATGTATGGTTTTGCTGAGGCATCGGTTATTGTCAGTATGATACTTCTCTCACTGTTATGTTTTGAAAATAAACGCTGGTTCTTTCACTTGTTGATTCTGTGCTGTTGTGTCACATTCAATATTTATGGAATCCTGAATCCTCATGTTGTAATTTCAGTCTGACATGTTCATTCATTAACAACCCCACATACTCCATCCTGCTGGTATTAATACTCACTCAAGTAACTCCATTACTGTAAAAAGTCCCAAAAAATAGTTTACTCCTGTTTAAATGTTAAAGTATCAGATAAATCCTACAGGTTATGATGGAAAAACATTGAACAGGTGAATTGAGTAGTTACTTGTGCAGTTTGAAGTATTGGATTGATTGTCACAATTAAAAATTGCATCACATGGAAGGAAACAATCTTTGAGCCATTGGGATTTTGTGATTTGAACTTGTTATGTATTAAAAAGAACAACTTTGTGAGCACATTGATGCAATAAGTTCATTCTGCCCTATTGTACTTATTGGATATATTATATAATAAGACACTGGTTCTTTACATTAATATTTATAATCCTACTCAACAGCAAGTCAGAGGGAAATAGTCGATAACTTGATTCCACTTCATTATATGATTAATAGCAACTAGTTACTTTGCATAGTAAGATTTTATATGTTATTGATTACCCAACAGAATTAAGTGTAAGCCTACCTCAATCAGCTACACAAGTAAAATGCAGTCATTTACTACTTTGATGTAAATTTTACCAAATGCATAATACCATATTTGTGCTCATGAAAAAGTATTCAAGATAGTTGCAACACCCAGCTAGCAGTACAAACTGTATCTGCAGTCACGACGCTTCCTGAGCAGCATCGATCAGTTAGCATTGTAACAGCAGCAGTTAGCAGCATGGAAAGCACAGTCAAATAATGTTTACCGACATCAACTGACTCATTATGTGAGTATCTATGCAAATTATGTTGTAAAATATCATTTAACTTCTCTTAATGAAATAAAATAGAACTGACGTGTGTAGACTTGCAGCAGACCACAGAAAACAATGAGTCTAACCTGATTGTGAGTGTGTGTGCATCATCATGACAGACAGGAAGTCTCTCTCTCTCCCTCTCTCTCCCCCTCAGCCTCTCCCACTCATCACTGCTGCAGTGTCTCAGAGCCTCAGTCACTGACCTTCCTCGGGGACCATGCAAGCGCTTGTTGCCAGGTAAGATTCAGAGATACTGAGTCACTCTGTTCTCCTCCTGGACTCTTGTTTCACCAGATTTATTCTCTAAATGTTCAGTCTGACTTGCTGCAGAGCTCAAAGTTCTCGCGTTTGTCATGTTGTGGAACGGCTCTGCTCAGTTCAGGTGCTGCAGGCCTCGTTGAACTGATATAACTGATGAAGATAAGATCCCCATTAGCTTCTTTGTGTATGTTAGTAATTGTTGGCTGTGGGGTATTATTCTTAACTATTTTAGCTCATTAGTTATCATCATTTTTGGTCATGTGGCTTAAGAGGAGTATTTTGCCGTGTATGGCTCGCAGGTTTTGTTGTAATTAAAGTGTGGGTGGATAATTCATCTGCAGCTTGGTCTAACTTGTTTAGTGTTTCATTGTTTTACTGAATCCTTCTTTCTGTCACTCTGTAGAACCACCCACAGCCATGAATGCCATATGATGCTGTTTGCTTTTCACTGAAGAGCAGAGTGTGCAGCTCACCAGCCAACTGACTCTCAGTCAGGGTGACTTCACAGTGAGGGATCGATACCAGTAAAAGCGTAGCAGAGGAGGGGTGGGTAACTCTGGGTTAAACATGAGCCTCCCCTCTGGTGCTTGCTCAGCTCTTTTTGTGTGTGGAGCCACTGGCAGAAATTGCACTCGGGTCTTAAAGTCACAATGAAGATGCATTTTCAGTGCATCGTGCTTCCTTCATTTGACACCCTTCTTGTTGTTGCTGCAGGGAGAAATTATTCTAGAGGCTGAATTAATGGGATGAAAGGATGCAGCAAAGGAAATTTGTCTTTTAGACATTTTTATACAATTATCCAACGACAGTGAAAGTCTTTGTCTTTATTAGCAACTGCCAAGTATTATAATTGGTGTGTGGTTGGATAGAATGTCTTGTCTTGTCCTCTCATCCATCCATCCATTAATCTATCCATGCATCCATCCATCCATCCATAATCACTGAATGGACTTTCTCATGAAAATAATCATAACCACAAACAATCAAACAAACAATTTTAATGATAAAATCTATATTCGGATCAGATCATATTGGTTTGCACATCAGAGGACCTTTTTGAAAAGCACACAGTATCATAGAGAGAACTGTTATGATTACCTGAATACTCTGTTAGTCTGTCTGATCAGAAAGGTGCTGCCCTCTTGAACTTCCCAGGCCTCTGTGCGTGACTCTTGACTTGTTCCTGTTTTCTTACAGACCCAGGTTGTATCTGACCCCAGTCAGGGATGAAGAAGCGGAGTCTCAGAGGAAAGCAAAGTCTCGTCATGCCAGACAGACCCGCAGGTCAACACAGGTAGACAACAAATGGCTCAGAGAAGTTCAAGTCTGGTTGTATTCTGTGTTAGTGTTGACATGAAGTTGTATGAATGTCCTGCAGGGTGTGACTCTGACAGACCTGAAAGAGGCTCAGCAGATCAACAGCCTGTCTCCTCGGGACAGTAGGCAGACAGAGGATGCTCTGAATGACAGGTCCTGCCTGAGGAAAGGTTTTACAGATGAGAGGAGAGTCAAACTCAGCCTGACAGAGTCCACGGAAACAACAGAGACCAGTGCAAGATGGGGAAAACTGGACGAGGTGAGCAAGAGAGAGATATATTCAGAAATGAATTCAGGCTTTCTGCAGCAGAAGTAACTAGATGTGTTTTTTTCTCCTATGCATCTTCAGCAGGGAAACATTGAACCCAGGTTAGAAACCCTCACTGAGACTCCAACAGCAAACTTTTTATATTCAGCTAACTCTGGATCCTGTGGCCTGCCCGTCTGCAACACTTCCTTCAGAGGTCAGAGAGTAAAACGTTTTAACTCTTGTGTTTACTCGAGGTTGGCTTTACTTTCTCACTTTATTTTTTTCCATCATGAATGTACTTTTATTATTATTGAGTGGAACCCAACATATAGAGAAGTGTTGAAGTAGTTTTCTTTACATGTGCCACAAACATCACATACAACAAAGACATTTAACACCAAGTAAGGAAATATGTTTTAAAGTCATAATACTAATACTTATAATACTAACAACAGCAGTAATAAAGAAATAAAAGCAGAAAGTTAGATAATGTTAAAAAAGCTATGAAACATGGGCAGTGAAAACCAAACAGTAAATAAATAAAATCACGTAAATATAAGTAATTAGCGACATTTTTGTATAGTTTGGTTCAGTTAGATCTATACCCCAAACTGTTATAAACTTAATTAAGACACATTTGTATTTAAACTTGTTCGACAGCTTTTGAGACCCCAAAACAGACATAATGTGTCCCAGACGTTCTTCAGTTTAAAATCAAGTTTATAAGCAATTATCAAAAAACCAGGAAAAGTTTTGGAATATCAGGCAGATGAAATAACTAAACATGTTGAGCTGTCAAGGAGTTCAGGGTCTCCAGGGCCCCAAGTTTGAATATTAGCTTCAGGTGTGTTGTGTGTACAGTAGGAATACTTAGAGTATACTGTGTGTTCAGGTGGTGAAAGATGGTGGAAAGATGAAAATCAGAACCCTTTTGACGATTCAGCACAGATGAGCTTTGCCCCGAGACAGCAACAGAGACAACGCTGCCGTGATGGTGACGGTTCAGACTTCAACCCTGCAGAGGTACGTGGAAAATGTTTTTATCGGCTTTTAGTTATTGTCTGTCATGCAAATTGAAAACGACAACGGAAATGTTTCCAGGGGACATAAAAAGAACCTGGCTGCAGCTCAATGCTTTGTGAAGTTCCATCACAAACTTCAGGCTGCTCTTTTGGGGTTCCCCTGGAAACATTTCTGTTGTCGTTTTCACAATTTCCATGTGTTGTGACTTTTTGCAGCGCATGTGTCTTCAAAAAGTTGTTTTCTTATTTTCTTATTTTTTTCTATTTGCATGTGTTTTCTTAATTTTCATAAATGTCAGCTGGGATTGGCTCCAGCGCCCCCTGCAAACTTAAAAAGGTCAAGCAGTGAAGATAATATGGATGGAAAGATGGATTTTCCCTTAGCACCACTAGATGGAGCCAAAAGCTTTTACAATGTATTTTCCATGCCCTTAGTTTGACCAAGGAGAACTGAGTATTTACACTTCACCTGATAAAGACTTCTGTTTACTACACAATGTGTTTTTAACTGGAGCAAAGTCAAAAGTGTGAAATATGCATTTGAAACACTAAATACTTCAGACTGATAATCTCACACCACAACAATCGCATTGTTCTGTGTGAATCAACATTCATGAGCAGCATTGTCTCATGTTTCACCTCCTGATTATCACCATGAAAGCTGAGGAGGCTTCAAAGAAAACTCTGCATTAATCTCTGATGCAACATTTTAAAGTGTCGTGCAATCGCAGATGTGAAGCACGTTGTCAGAGATTGTCTTAACCAGAAGTGCTGGTTAATGTCTACCAGACCCCCTCCCCCCCTCCACACACACACACACACACACACACACACGCACACACACACACGCACACACACACACACACCCTCTCCCCCTCCCTCACCCGCTCCCTCTAAGTCGCTTTGCTTCTTCACATCACATGGCTGAGGTGTCTCGGCATTCCATCCCATATTGGGCAAAACTGAGACGCTCTGTGTGTGTGGACTTGGACTCAGAGGGATTGACTTTCGTTTCTCTTTGGCCCTCTGAACCGAGAGTGTGTTCCCTGCACCTGTGTGTGCCGCATGTGAGCGTCGCCCCATCACCAAATCCTCCTTCTGGGTGCAACCTGTCAATGCACTTCAGTATCAATGAGGATTTTCACTTTAATCTCCTGAGAAATGTGTATTTTTTAAAAATCTATTTTCAAATGCAAACCCCACAGAGTGGACGGCCAGGCAGTCAGGGTGACTTTTACAAGCTCATACATGAAAATGGTTTCCCTGTGTGAACTGATTCCAGCTCAGCGGTCCAGCTGTCCCCCCCCCCCGGTGGAATCTGTTGGTAATATGAGTCTCCTTGCGTTACCGAGTGGACTATATCTGTCTGTGATAATCATACCGAGCAGCGAGGCTTCATCAGAAGCACAGGCCGGCCATCTCCAGAGCCGACCTCTGCGTGACTCCATGATGATCTGAGCAGACTTTCCACGTTTCTTTTCAGCAACAGAGAGAGAGAGACAGGTGCAGAGCGAGTCAGCTGAGAGATTCTGATACAAGAAAGGAGCAGGGGAACTTAGATTTCTTTGCAAGTCACATTTTCTACTAAAGAACCACTTTCTAATGGAGCAGTTTCTGTTATAAGATCATGTTGGAAGTGCAGCCTGCTCCTCCTCATGTACACCCTGAGAGTAATGTCTCTCATGGAAAGTCCTGAAACTAAGGCCAACAATCAGGCTGGTGGGGGAACTACAGCTCGGATCAGCACCCCTTAATGAAAGTCTCCGACACCAGTGCCAGTGTAGTTCACTACCACTGAGTCATTTTCTCTACAAACATACAAGATAAAAACTATGTGTAGTTTCATTCTGATGTCAAACCAGAACTAAAGCCACTAATATCTGCCTTTTTAGATACTTGTCGTTTGTTGGTTTGTCAGCATGGATCATGCAAAACCTACCAGCTGGACTTTCATGGAACTTGGTGGAAGGAAAAACGGGTCAGAACCCATTTATTTTCGGTGTTGGTCCAGATCCTGATTTCTTCACTTTCTGTAGCTTTGAAAGAGTTGACTGAGAATTCCTCCAAGAATAATTCATGGAAGTAGATAAGAAAATAGAAATCAGGCATTTTTAGGTGACATATTTATGAATGTGTATAATTGGTGTAGATCCAAATAAAAATCCTGACCTAGTGAATTTGTGGTTTCAGAGGGGACTGTTGGGCCTGGGTGGAGGAGTGTAGTTGTGAAGGTAATGTGCCTCTATATTAAAAAGTCAAGCCTTTCTTTTCCTTTCTCTTTCTATTTTCTTCACTCCTCCTCCTTGGTTTCTTTGTTTGTGAGGGAGTAGAGGAACAGCGAAGTGCAAACCTCACTATAAAAGGAAGGTAGCGCTGAGCCGGCTGGTGCGGACTATACTGGAAGAAAGTGAGGGGAGGTGCAGGCTTCTTGGAAGTGATAGCTCGGCATTTGGGAAATATGCTTGTTAAGCTTCCCTGCAGGGGGTTAAATGAGAAGATTGATATCGCTCTGTATGGTTAACATGAAGATACAGTCAGTGCTGTACTCAGCAGAAAGACTGGAAACGGGAGGAAACGGCTCGTCTGGCACTGCTGACACATTCAGCCATTTCAGCCAACACCAGGAAATATTCATGTCCAAGATACAAAGCCCTCGAGTGGCTGTAGCAAATACGACTCTCGCTCATTGCCAGAAACAGAAGAAGACGTCAAACAGTAACAGCATCTGCAGAGGGGGGAGGTCACAGTGGAGTCAACAGTGCAATCACAGTCAAATCTCATCAGCTCAACAGCTCCATCTCTCCGTCCGTCTCTCCATCCATCTATCCATCATTCATCATCCATCATCCATCATCCACCATCCATCATCCATCATCCATCATCCATCTATCCATCTCTCGATCCATCTATCCATCCCTCTATCCATCATCCATCAGCCATCATTCATCATCCATCTATCCATCATCCATCCATTCATCCATTCATTAAAACTGTGGAACATACAGCGAGTACAATCTTCACACAGAGAGGTTCTGTTCGAACCCTTCTTATTGCTGTGACTGTTAACCACTGGACTTCTCCAAATGTGAAACAGAATAAATATATTTCAGTCAAAGGAAAACCCAGTGACGGACTGTCCAGCCTGTCTGGGATGTATATCACCTTCTGTCCAATGTCAGCAGGGATCGGCTCCAGCGCCACTCTCAACCCGTAGATATAGCTAATGGATGGATGGATGAACGATAAGAGGAAATGTGGCACAAGAGCTCTCTGTTAACACCATGTAACACTCACACACACACACACACACACACACACACTATCATCCTCTCCATCGCACTATAGGGTGCATACAGAATGACTCGACACCTCACGGTTGTTGATGGCATCTCAGGAAATATTGTCTGTTGACCTTCCAGGACACAGACTGCTGCTGTCCCCAACCCCAACCCCCCCCCCCACCTCTTATCCCCGTCCACATCACTGGACAATTTTAGCCTTCAGTGCCGAGTCTGGCCATCGCAGAGCCTCTGGCAGGCCGCCACAGAAAGCTGCCAAAGCTGAGGAGAGCAGGGAGCAGCAAGGGGGGAGTTGGCGGGGGACTGGGAGAGAGAGAGAGACCAAGCACAGAAAGGAGAAGGAGATAGAGAAAGCAAGAGAGGGAGGGAGATGGAGAGAGAGAGAGAGAGTGTATAACTTTGGTGAACATGGGAAGAGGCAGCACTGGGAAAAAACTTTTCTATGTTGACTGCTCTCTTTTGGACTTTTCTACCTTTCATCAAAGACCTCGGTGTCGAAGGAGCGGAGACAAAGGGAGGATCGTTAGTTTGCTTTCGTAGCTTTAGAGTTACTTCTTTGTTTTTTGTGTTCACCAGGTATTATCTTGTTTTTGTTGCATTTTTAAAAAATTTCATCACCACCGTCTGAGCTTTGAAGAAGGGATCATCACACACACACACACACACACACACACACACACACACACACACACACACACACACACCTGTTGCTGAGGATTCCCCAGGAGCGCAGTCATGTGCATCTGCGTCACTGTTGTTGCTTGAGGGGATCTGTGCGTCCGTGCAGCTGTTCTCTGGAGGTGGGCTCCTCGGTGAACGCTGCAGCAGAACCTGCCTGCTCAGGGTCAAGGAGGGGAGATGTCATCCTACTACCCACGCACCAAGGACCTGACCCGCACCAGAAAGTCACTGACAGAGTCACCACCGTCCTCTCCATCCCCTACAGACAAAAACTACAGAGTAAGAACAGAATGTCTTTCACCCTCTTTTCATTTTGAACTGGTGTCACCAATTTACCAGATTAGATGTTTCTAATTAATTTTCCTGAAGTTAAACCGGATTAAAATGATTGATATTAGAATCCATAGTCAAGTGACTTTGCCATATGTTCATCCAAACTTAAAAAAACTAGAAGAAAGAATTTCACTTTCTGTAGGTCTTGGTGACTGATCTTCTAAGACATGACAGCACAAGCCAAGTGAAGTCAAGTTAAAGTTTATTTACACAGTTTAAAACAACCACAGTGGACCTAAGTGCTGAACAGGATTAAAATACAAAAAATAAAGGAATATGAAAATAAAACAAGAGAATGAATAGAAAATACAAAAGCAATAAAACATTAAACATCAGGTCAGTGTAAAGTAGCGCTGATACAATTAGTTGATAAAATGCTTCGTCCATGGATAAAAAAATAATTTGGCAGCAATTTGAAATCTTTTATTTAAAATCTATGTTTGAAATATATTAATATGATTTTAATATTTGTCTGATTTTAAAAGTCCTTCGATTTCAACCTCGACAAGTTCTGTATCCTGCACAGCATCATAGTAAACAGGCCAATCATTTGATGTATTTTAATAGATAAAGACAAAATGACTTGCAGATTAAGTGATAACAGAAAGTTTGGTAAATTATTCATGTGTTTGGACATGTGCAGTTATGTGTGGATTTAGTTAAACACACTTTCAACATCTCATAACAAGATTATTATCTGATCAAGGTATTTCCTGTTCTTCTTATTTTCTGTGAGTAATTGTCTCTAAAATAAGTTGATTGAAAGTGAACAAGTAGTTGTCAGTCTCTCATCAATTCCATTTATACGATGATCCATGAAACTTATTTGCTCCGAAGAATCCAACCAAACTTTCTGGAAGAGACTTTTGGATAAAAACTGTAATTTCCTGTTATTTTTCTCTCTGTGTCTAAGTGGCTTATTCTCATGGGCGTTGTTTGACTGTGGTGTTTATGTCGGTGCATCATACTGAGCTGGCCTTAGTCACAAACTCTTAAAGCGACAGACAGATGCTGAAATGTGGAGCGGTGACAGTCATTGAGTCTGTGCTGGGACATGTACAGTAAATGTCATGCAACTCTGCAGACACTGGCGTTACAGTTCAGGCGCTGAATGCCGCCAGTCTTCTGCTCTTTTCAAGACATGTCAGTGTCTTTGTGTCTGTGGTGAAACTCTGGCATTAATTTGCCATGATGTCAGCCCAGTTTGAACTGGCAAAGTGTTCATGGGAGAGACAAAGCAGTACTGGAGGGAGGGGAGTCAGATTGATGCAGTATTTTTAGCACATGTCACAATGTTTTGATGAGAACCTGATCGTCTTTAGCAAAATACAATGTGTGCTACAGCTGTGAGCAGCAGGAAGCGGTGGAAACATTAACACTGGAGCGGTGGTGGAGAGTCACTTTGTACATTTACTCAATAACGATTTGAGGTATTTGTACTTTACTCAAGTATTTTTATGTTATTTTATAACTCTACTCCTACTCTACTTCAGAGGGAAATATTCTGCTTTTTTGTCCACTACATGTATGTGACAGCTTTAGCTACTTGACATAATAACACACGTTCATATAAAAATGATAATTTTACAAAACTCAAAAATGTTTTTCTCTGAGTTCAGATGTCTGTAAGTTGTTCACAGTTCCATCAAACATCTCAGCAATTCAGTTAAAAAACAATTGAAGCTGAAATAAATGCAGTTTTGTAATACTTCATGATGAAAAGCAGGATTTAGAAATTAGTTGGCAACAGAATATACATTTTTATGCCAGAATTGAAGTTTTTCTTTCATTTGTACATCATCAATCTTGTCCTGATCATCCACATTTATCTCATTACCCAGCTGTGGCGCAGGAAGTAGAGCCTCCACTAACAAGGAAGTCGGTAGTTTGATCCCTGAGTCCTCCATTCAGCATGCTGAAGTGTCCTTTGGCAAGAAACTGAAACACAAATTGCCCTGATGGCTGTCAGTCTATGAGTGCTGCACATAGATGCACTGTATGAATGTGTGTGAGTGGGTGATGGGCAGAACTGTACTCGAACGAGTTTTGAGTGGAAGAAGAAGTAGAAAAGTTCCATATACAGATCAGATGGGACTCAGCTAACTGCAAAAAATAACTAAACTATAGAGCTCCAGAGATTTACTTGTAATGGAGTATTTGTACACTGAGTACTACCTTCATCACTGGATCTGAAGCATTTTGAGGACAGTGCTGTCGAAAAAGCAAAGAGAGGGAGGGTGTTTTCTCAGCGGCCATGAAGGTCTCAGATGAGCCGCAAAGAGACTGAAGTGAGGAAAGGTGAGGGCATGTGGAAGAAAGGTCTTTTATGGAGAGAGAGAGAGAGAGAGAGAGAGAGAGAGAGAGAGAGAGGCTCAGAGTTTCCTACTGCAGTCGACCTGTCAGCTCTGAGGTGGAGATGCTGTGACAGTAGAGGGGGGACACAAACAGACAGAAGTGAGATGAGGGGTAATTGGCTTTTGAAAACTGCTGTGAACAATTTCATTTTTACCTCCAAGCAGTGAGCTCATGCAGACGGCCTCCGTGTGAGTGTGTGTACCCCTGACCCTCTGTGCCCTCCCCTGCTGGTGTATATTGTTGGTCCTGGCAAACCATAAAAACTGGAGGCAGTTGTGCTTACAGAGCGCCCGTGGTCATGGCGTGCACCCGTCCGTCTGATACAGTCTGACACCCTGTTGTCCCCCCCCCCCCCCCCCCTCCCTCCCTCTTCCTCTCCTCCTGCATACATGTGCCACTTCTGACTCCCTCTGTTTTTCCCAAACAAGGGAATCCGATTGGTGCGGCCGCCATCAGAAATAGAATTTAAAGTATGATTCAGCTTCTGGCTCTGGTTCAACGTGAACAGAAAACATTTCATGATGCGGGAATACATGTATGACTGTAAAAGGCTCGAATTCCACAGGGCTCACTGAAAATGTTACTGGAATTAAGTCAGTTAAGAAAATAATTTCACCAATTTCCCTAATCCTTTAGTGTGAAATAGAGTTCTGCACAGGAACCAGTAATCTTGAAACGGTGCTTCATATCCTTATGAGTGGGAGGATTTATTCATAAAGCCAGAGGTCCAATCATCCCGGCTGATGAGTGAATTTCCACTGAATCTGATTGAGGCGCTGTGAGATCAGAGTGAAGAGAGCTCCATCCTTGGCCCTTTCTTCGTCTGAGGTCACGGAGGTCTGTTTTTTCCTGGATAGCTCTGCTTAAGCACATGACCACATAAGGACAGGCAGCGCTGGCTCAGTTATGTAAACACTTGCTGAGGAATAGCTCCTTTGACGCTGTGTGAAACATCCCCTAACTCACAGGAATAACTGTTCCTTTCCACATAAATTGTCCTCATGCTTCTAACGCGTTCTACATCTGCTTCTTGTCTCCGATGGCGGCACAAGACGTTCACTGCAACGTGTTTCCAAACAGAGAGTTGTTTCTCAAGGCGTCTTTCCCAACGAGAGAGCAGCTCCACAGCTCTGAATGTTTTGGGGGTAACGTTAAAGAGACAACAGCAGATACAGAGAGATCATGGATCCTCCTCTCATGTGACACGTTCATCAGCTGCAGGATATCATTATATTTACATATTCTGTGTGTACATTGTGTACATGAGCACAAGGAGGCAGTAGACGCATTAACTACACCTACATCAGGTTTGTGCTCATTAACTTCAGGCCCATCTGCTTACTGCTCCCTAAAAGTGAAGCCCAATCACTTGGATCGCCCCCTGGTGGCTGGTTGCAGCATGGTTCATAAACCCAGCCTCCTCTTCCTGGGACGTGGACCAAACAAAAAACAAACAATTCTCAAAGATACACTTAAAATATTTAATCCAAAATGTTGACTTTATGTATTTCAATCACACATCAAATTTCCATTTCACTTTATTAAATAAATTCTATTCAAAGTGTCACATTTAGGAATAGTTTTCAATTTATTGGGAATAAATCAAATACCTTGAGAGTGATTTAAATAAATATAGTAATAATAAACACAATATATTTAATTGTATATTTTAAGTTTAGTTTCTGTTATTTCAGGACGTTCTTATCACACGTTTGTTCCAGTTCACATTTTTCAGGTATATTGTTTTGAATTAGTTATTTGATGCTGTAAAAAGTTGGTGAAACGTCATGAATGACTCACAATTAGTCGACAGCATCTCAATACAGCAGCTCTGCCCCCGGGACACCACTGCAGCAGAATCAACGGTGGCTGAGAAAGCTCACTGCAAATGAAGAAAACACTTGCAAATAGTGAAAATGACACCAGAGATGTTTCCAGGAAACCCAAAAAAAATGATGAATCTGGCTGTAGTTCAATAATTTGTGAAGTTATTGGAGTCTGTTACTCGTCACTGGTGATGGAACTTCACAAAGCAGTATATATATATATATATATACAGTATATATATATATAGTAAGATACTGTATGTTGTGATTTGCTGCTATATAAATACAATTTAATTGAATTAAATTAGCAGCAAGTTCAGTCGGCTATGTGAGCGCCACAGGACCCTGTAGACTGGACCTGCCACAGTTTAAACCTGCCTGCTATCAGTTTGCAGTCTGATGTTAGCGGCCGACCCGTCACACCAGAGATACTTAGCTCCTGATGTCATGATGTCATCTTGATGCTGCAGGCATTTGTGCTGCAGCCTCCTATTCTAAAAGATTAACTGGGCTCACCGGGAAGTTTGACCTGCGTGAACTCTGCCACCGCGCTGACGGGGTGAGTTGTGTCTCACTGCTGCGCTCGCTCTCTCCCCGCAGGGCCTTCGGCTTTGAACACGCTGCGATAATTCACTTGGAAGTTTTGTTTTTCCTCTTTGTTGTCTCAAGATGGAAAAATATTTCTCTGCCAAGCCTCTGTTTGTTCTTATCAAACAAATAAATCTGGATCTATCCACAGCAGAGTGTTTTTTTCAGACAGCGTTCCCATGCTGTGATCAAGCTAACGTGGCTTTTTTTCTCTTTGTCTTTCAGCATGACAGACTGTCGAGGTGAGGATCAGGCGCTGCTTTTTTATCCTGAATTCCCTGAAATAAATAAATCATTAATGAATGTCCTGGATAAAGTAGCACGGTGCACTGAGTATGATGTGTGTTGCCTCCAGGTACGACTCCAGTGGAGAAAGTGCGACGGACAGACCACTGGGCCGCACCAGCTCTTATACGCGCAGAGAGACGAGACTGGCCTCTCTGAGTAAAGATCAAGACTCCACCGCCAAAGACTATAAGAAGGTGGTAACTGTTAGATCCACAGGGTCACTGTTCAGAGATGATGATATAATAAACTGCATTGTTTTATTGGCTTCTTTATAATGTGATTGTTGGGCGCTTCTAGTTCATTAATTTATTATTACTCTTTGTTGACTCTTTTCCTCCATCTTCATTTTCTTCTGTATTCAGATGTATGCAGAAGCTTTGCATGAGAACGAGCGGCTCAAGTCCAGGTTGCACGACAGCAAACAAGAACTGGTCAAGATTCGCTCCCAGCTGGAAAAAGTCACTCAGGTACACAAACTGTCAAGTTCAGTCGTCTTCTGTCACCGCTGCACCATCATGGTTTTTTCCCACGGGCGTGCTGCAGGAAGGTCACGTCTGAATACTTCATGACTCCAAAATATGTACAATCCTTCTGAGATTCTCACAATAACAGCACCGTTCTGACTTCCAGAGGCACGACAGGATATCAGAGAAGTCTTCGGCACTTGAATCAGAGAAAAGGGTGAGTTGCCTCAGCGACCTTTTGGCATCTATCAAGAGGGATCTGACTTTTCTTCTTGTTCTTTAGAATTTAGTTTTGTTTTTAATTATAGAGAAACGACCTTTTACTGAAGATTATTTACTTCAGTTGTTTTGTCTTCGTTCACAGGAAAAACAAGCACTTGAGAGGAGAGTGTCAGACATGGAGGGGGAGATAAAGGTCAGTCCATGCAAAAACAAAATTGTGTATATTCACCTCGGGTTATGATGGCGTCTACATCTCTGTGTTGTTTTTTTGCCCAACAACACTAACAGTCCTTGAGAGCAAACACCTCCAGCCAAGCCCCTCTCACTCATGCTAAATGTAGCACATGAAGTGATTCTACAAAGCAAAACACACATACACACACACACACACACACACACACACAYATATATATATATATATATATAAATACTCTCTGGGGTTGTGCTTAGACAGGTGGGTTTGGAGTCAAGGAGAAGGAAGGTTAATGCTTTAGGCTCATTACCCACAGTGCTCTGCTGGGCCACTTCCTGCCAGGCTAAGGAGGAGCCTGTGCTGCTGCTCCCCTGCTCCACTTATCCCACTGTTGGGGTGAACATTGTGACCTAGTTCCAGCTGAATACCAAAACCCTGTCCAAGAGCAAAAGACCTGCTTTTGTGAGACATTCCTGCACCGCACTGTGTGTATTCTGCTTCACAAAGCAACACAGGACATCGCAGCAGAGGGATTTCAGGCCTCAGCGCTCTGCACTTCATTCTGTGCAGAGGCAGCAGAGAGGAAAATTACACAACAGGGTTAAAGTTGGATTTCTATGTCAAATCATTGCAACATTGTTATGTTCCTCAAGAGGAAGGAAATAATAGCTGTGGTCCGTGGAAATATAAATTGCCGGCGCTGAAGAGAACACACGTGCAGCAGTGTGTCCGCCAGCAACCGATGTTTGACACCCATGTTGTCGTGGTTCCCTTCAGCAGGACGCCCCACTGCGGTTCCGCTGTGGGTACCAGCCCTGAGGGCGGGCTGTTCTCAGGGGAGGGGGGATGGTGAGTGGTCGCTATGACGCTGAGGTGTGATTGACACCTGCCTGTCACCTCACTTGATTCTGTTTACACGTGTGGACATTATAAACTCAAACATACCAGAGCTGTACACTTCACACCTCAGGGAGCTGGAATGTCACGCACCCACAAAGTCACTTGTTCCTGTTTGGCACGAAAAACAGATTCTCCACAGGGGGGAGCTGTTGATGTTAGATTAGTCCTACACGAGTAAACCCACGCCACCTGGTGGAAAGGAAAAATAGCAGCAGCACCTCACACCTGCAGATATGGATATGCTGTCTTCAATTAGCAAAACCAAATCACAGATTCTGTCATTTTAACACTTACACTGCAGCGAGTGTAACAAGTAGTGAGTGTTCAAATGCAAAGTGAATTTCTCGCTCAATGGAAATACGCTAATAGATGTGAATTCACTCAGACTTAGCGACACGAACAGTTCGAATGACACAACGTGATCGACGTAAAGATGCTTAATTCGCTTCACTTGCTCGGGTTCAAATATTTGAACTTGAGCAAAAAATTTGCATGACGTGAGAAACATAACGTGGCAGTATTTGCTTCATATCTGGTGTGAACACAGCATTGCTATCTTTGAGACGGCACGCAAGCTGGTTTACTGCTGTTACTTTTCCTGCCCATAGGGGGAGCAGGTGTGAAACAGCTGGTGCTGTGGCTCTTTCCCTTCCACTGGGTCTGGTTCCAGATGTTTCACATCGACGGCACCGTGTGTCCTTGTTTTCCCTTTAAATTTGTGTCCAGGGTCTTTGCAGGGTTTTAAAGCTAAATTAGCACAAACAGCTTCTGAAACTTAATCAATAGCGAGTGTGTAGAACAGAGAGCTCCAATTTAAGAGAGTGTAATAAAACGATAGTGGTCTCACCTCACTCTGTCCTCTCCTCTCCTCTTGCAGAGGGCACCTCTGCAGAAACTGTTTTATTCTAGAGGACATTATATGCATGGACATCTGGGTCTCAAACATTCTGCTTCTTCTTTTAGAAATGTGTTCCGGTGTTGTGTGAAGGAGCTGGATTTCTACCTCTGTCATATTTGTGTCTCGTGTGTGTGTTTGTGTTTGTGTGTGTCCTGTGGTTTCTGCTCAGGAATGGTGTCAAACCACAAACTTTCCTGTTGAGCCACATTGGGGTTTACCTCAAAGTCAGGACAAGAGGAGTGTGGGTTTAGAGGGAGGGGGGAGAGGGAGGAATAGTTTCCATCCCTTTGACTAAGAACCAAAATCGTAGAGTTTTAGTTTCTATGTATTTGAATTCCCTCTCCTTTTTGAATCCATGCGTATAACAACACTTCAGCACTTCGCCACTCTCCTCACACCGATTTTTTATTGCATTAAATAACTAAATAAAATGAGCACAAACATACAACAGTGATAAGTACTGAGATTTGTTATGGTTGGACCACGTCTCAAGGAGAGGAGGCTGGGTTTATAACCTATATTGGAATTAGCCACCAGGGGGTGATTCACATATTTTGTGATCAGTGATTTGATATAAGAATGACCTAAAATCACAATTCATTTAACATGTGCTTTGACTTTTTAGTTTTTATCCATGTCCCATCCGTTAACATGCAGGAGGCAGGATTGAGACGTATACTGCGGCCATCCACCAGGTGGCGACTGAGATGTTTTGGCTTCACTTTTGGAGTTGCATTCATGTCGTCCATCTTTATATTCAGTCTCTGGGTGAAACCAAAGGAGACAAGGAGGCTTTATACTTTGCTTTGCTTGTGGCAGCTTCCTCTATTCTCCTCAAATCTTCCTGGTTGGGTAAATATTTGTTTCTGTAAGTGCTCTGGTACGTGTCTCAGATCCAGATCCCCCCCCTCCCCTTCTTCCCTGTAAACAGTTTCTATGTGAGCCTCTCTCTTTGCACACGGCCTGCCTCCCTGCACGCTCTCTCTGTCCTCCCCCTCTCTGTATCTCTCTCCTCCTCTGTGCAGACTTTCCCTGCTCTGGCTCAGGTCCACACCTTGCGGAGGGTGAACGAGTGTCTCCTGGCGGAGAACAGAGCCATGCTGCGTGTCCTTGCCCGCCTCTCTGAGACGGCCTCCATGCCGGAGACGGAGGACCTCTGATCCCCCGACACCACCTGTCCTCCTTTCCTCCCTTCCTCTCCCTTCCTCAGACACATTACTTCTGCACTCCTCTGTCCTTCTGGTGCCTCTACAGCCCCCTCGTCCTCTGCTGTGTTCCTCTCAGGCAGGTCCTGCACCCTCCTGATGCTCACACACCTCCAACACTGTCATGCATCTTCGCCTGCACTCTTTTCTTTTAAAACCCATTCTCCTTTACGACCCTGCTGATCCCTCCCCCCCACAACAGCTCTCATAAGCCCTTTGAAGTTTATTTTTACCCACATTCGTTTTGCACGGAGCTTCACATGACATGATCACCGCATTATTTTGTAAAGTACACATCAACAGTAGCTCTGCTGCAAAAAGAAGAAATGCACGTTATAGTGGTTGTTGATCTGGAAACAGGAATAAATAAATACAGGCTGGTCCTGTGTAATGTTCTGTGTAATCAATGCAAAGTTGTTTGCCAAGAAAATAGCCTCTGTGGTCAATCTTCCATAGGAAATGAAATGTGTGAGATCATTAGACTCACAATGAAGTCGTGTTTAACACAGACACAGGAATGTGACTCATGTTGTTTCTCTGTGGATTTATAATTTTTGTTTGTATTTTACCTTCAGAGAAACAACGAAATATGTTAATAAAAGTAAAATTACAATCTATCTGTCTATCTATATATCTATATATCTATCCATCCATCCATCTTTAGAGGGACTGTATAGTGCTGGAAAGAAAGAAAGAAAGAAAGAAAGTGGAAAAGTGCATTTCCAAAATGTCAAATTATTCCTTTAACTGGATTTAGAAAACAGCATCAGGACGTTTTCTGAGCTGAGTGTTTGGATCATTATTCCTCACATGGTAAAGATGTGATTTCCCACAGGTTATGAACGTGTCGGTGGAGGAGCCTTCACTCGTTTACTCGTTTTTTTGGAATCATATCAGAGCAGCGGGTTAAAACTTTGACAAATACGATGGTTATCTTTAGTCGTTGCTCTTCTTGAGAGACGAGACCCAGATTTGGGAAGTTTGACCCTTTCTCAGTTTCTCTCTTTTTGACTTCATTCTCTTTCACTTCTCATCTGTCAAAGTCACGTCTCACTCGCATGATCAACTGCTGCAGAGCATGTCCTCATTGGCCGGCCTCCAACTTCACTTAGAAAACGTGTTTTTAGTAGTTTAGTCGATTTGGTTAAAAGTCTTGTTGTACCTGAGGCTTCAAATCGTAAAAATTTTGATCCTCAAACAACTCAAACCAGGATTGAGCAGTGTGTCTACGATGTTTTAATGATCTCACTTCTCTCCCTCTGCTCTCCCAGATCTTAACAGAGCTCAAGTCAGACAACCAGAGGCTAAAGGATGAGAACGGGGCGCTCATTCGAGTCATCAGCAAACTGTCTAAATGAAAAGATATGTGAAGCTCCATGTTCTCTGTCTGTGGACGCTCCAACCCTGAAACAGCAGTTTCATTTCCCCACACATCCCAAGCCGTGACTCCTCTCTGAGCTATGGTGATGATGGTGATGGGCCATCTCGGCTGCAGAAATAAATTCCCACTGCCCACGTTTCACAGTGTAATGATGGAGTTACAATAATTGTTTCTACTTGATTAGTTAGTGTCATTTTGTCATATATAAATATTTCACATTAATCGAATAGGGACCAGTCGTACTGTTTGAGTTGAAACAAATCCAGGGGTTTGCATGAAGGAACTGCATCTAATATAACGTCACGTTTGTTGCCACATCCTGCACTGCAGAGGATTTTTAATGATGTCTTATCTATGAACGAGAAACCAGTTATATCATTGATTATTTTTTAATTACTGCAGCAATCAGCTATGGAACGTGTATTGATCAGCATCAAATTATTAAGATGTTATCACGAAATTATGAAAATGTATCACACGATTATTGTCATAACAAATATATATTTACTGCATCAAATGTCTAGCATTGAAACACAGTGATTTGTAAATAATCTTCAAATGAGGAAACATTCAGAGAAAATATTTGGTTAAGTTCTACTTCACTGCTTCACTTCTACAAAAAAAATCTGTATTTCAATCAGAATATTTCAACAAACGGGTAAAATGAAGCCATACGAACAACAAACTGACCAAGAAGCTTCTGTTCCGGAGAGAATGTGAGTGTCTGTGCTGCAAGATGCAATTTCTGCGATAAAAATCAGATTCTCTCTCAGAACTCGAAACTTTGAGGATAAAATCTTTAATCTCTGAGAAACCGTGTCAGAAATACAAACAGCTGAAATCTTTGGAATCAGCCCAGGTTAAGGTTTGTCACTCAGCTGTTTTCACTTCTTACTGAGGTGTGAAAACTGTAAAACTTTCCTTTAGAAAACTATAAATGCATCATCAGCCATCGGAGCAACAGCAGCTCTGCACATCATTTTGTGACCTTTCAATCTAATCTGTTATTTAAAAAAAAAACTTGTTTTAAAGAAACGTGCCTGAACTGCACAGAAATGACAGAGGCATCACCTGCAGCAAAGTTTTACCTTCAGAATATTATATATGTTTCTATAACATAATCGATTAGTTTCCAACCTCTGTTATTTGTGGTTCCAGTAGCTGTTTGTCATTTTCCTTGTTTTTACGTGTTCTTCATAGAGGATCTTTTTATTTTTTAATTTTGATCCCTAATGATCATTAAATCATCAGAAGAAACAGTGTGAGTGTGTGGGACAGACAATGTCCTATATTATGTTTTGTAACAGAGATATATTTATTTATTTATGTGTCTCTTAGTTTTGATCGTCACATGTTGTTTCTGTCAAAGGAATACACATCATCCACCAGTAGATGAATCACTGCCGACATTTTAGATTCCACAACACTGTCTAATATTCAACATCGAGCACAATCCCAAGATTTAGGAATAATATTTGAAAAATCACTCTTTTAGCAAAACTGTGTTGAGCTTCTGAAATTAAGACAAAACTGAAGTTAAATTGATTTAATGGTATTTTTCAATATCTGGGCTCCTTCAATGAGTTTGTTTACATGGACAGCAATTTAATATCAATCTGAAAACAATATATATAAATTAAAGTCTGAATGAGACACTGCATTACTTTCACCTGAATAAAATTAAACTCAAAATGAGCAATAATCTAATTAAGAGATGTGGAGTATTTTAATCTCAAGCCCTTCGACGTGTTCTGGGACATTATGTAGATCTGAGTAATAATCAGTAATAATCAGTCTACGCTCTGCACCATGTAAATGAACAATGTGAATGAAATACTCTATTAGTATCTCACGTCAACGTCATAATTAAAATGTTTACTCTGAATAAAGCCAATAGTCAGAATATTGCTGTCAATGTTAACACAGTCATTTAAAATCTGAAATCTGAAAAATAATAAAATGATTCCTCCTGGAGCAAATAAAATCTCCCTCATTTCACATCATCATTTAATACATTAAAGTTCCAGACTTCATTTGAATCACTCACATGAATGATTTCTGTGTCCGTCCTCTGGAACCAGAGTCTCCAGTGTTTGATGTTTCCCTTTAACAGTGTTGATGGAGTCAAACGCTGTAACATCACTCATTTGTTTGGTCACATCCAGTAAACTCAAAGTAAGATACAATATGTGTCAGCTGCTCCTACGTGTGCTGTGTTGAACTATGCAGAGTGTCACTCTGAGAAGTTTGAAATGTGCTGATGACAGATTAATATGCACACGTTGGTTAACTCACTTTGCTTAATAAACTGTAAAGGGATGGGAAGGTGTCTCTGTGTCACATTAAGCCCAACACACTGCATACTAAACACAAAGCAGTCATGGTAATTAAAAGGCCTTTATTTCCTATTTGTTTTTTTACAGAACTGGTAACACATATGATAAATTTGTAATAAGTTATTTGGTTCCCTTGATGACTTTATAAGGATCCCCAACGTTTGTCCACACAAGGGTCAAGAGGAGTTTGTGAGCAACGTTTGTGTCCAGTCAAGGGCTAAAGCATGCGATCCACAGTAGGCACAAGTACTGACATGAACACGCGCACCACGACACTAGACACGAAGAAACACAGCTAGAGGACACGACCTGGCTGCCCTCCGATGCTTGAAAAGATGACGAAGAAGAGAAAGAGGTGGGAAAATAGAAGTCAAACCAAAAGAGTCTTGAGAATACAGCTGCATCAGGGATGAGGTGGAGGACTAAGCGCTCAAGAGGGGGAGTTTGGTTCGGTCCTGCATGTTTGGCAGTATACAGTATGTCCATGTTGTAAACATGAAGGCCGGCATTCTTTTCGCTCAGCGAAAGCAGATTCACCGGAGACCCCGATGAGTCCGCTTCCTATTCAGCATCACAACACTGATGGGACATCGCTGGTAACACATAAACAGGACAAAGACACCAACGGAAAGCAAAACCTGGAAACGTCGTGGTGACGCATCTCCGGCATCGATTCAAACACAGTCCTGCATTCTACATTAGACGTACACATCACAAGATTCAAAGTAAAGAAAGAAAAGACAGAAGGAGTGATTACACATGTGCACAAGAATACAAAGAAGAAATACAGAGAGTAATAGAGGAGACAAGACGGCGTGTTTCATTACCGTGTCTTTACCTGCTGACAGGCGTCTCGACACATTTTGACAAGGTGGCGGATGATTTCCCTTTTTTGAATCCCAGCGTTTGTTTAAAACAAAAACAGGAGAGGAAACACAAATGGCTGCTGCGTGACGGGTGCTCTAAAACCGTCCTGGCACAGCTGGAACGCCACAGTTTCAGATGCATTTGTGCAGAACGTCATATACGTCTACGCAGCTGTCAACAGAACACGTTAACCCCCGCATTTAAAATGGTTACACGCAGAGAGATTCACGTTAAACAATGAGTAATGTGACCAATGCATGCAGACCTGTACTGTATATTGTAATCATTATATTCCAGTGTTGTGTTTTTGCACCGTGTCTGCTAAAGGGCCTACATCTATTTAAACACACACACACACACGCACGCACGCACTCTCACACAGCTCCCAGTCCCCCATAGAACTTCATGGTCATGTGACTGCGGTGACACGAGCGGAGAAGGGAAACAAGAAATGAATCTCTAAAGTGTGCTGTAAATTTACCCGGGATCACATTCGCCTCGTCGTGTGACGGGTTCAAGTCAAACAGACGCAGGCGACTGTCACCAGGTAGTGGCAGTATTTCTGAAATCTTGAATTACACTCATCAGTGCATCATTTGGTCACAGTCAGTATTGATGGGACATTATAATATTGCATTAAATATTAGTGCGGCAGCGTCGCACGGCAGAGCTGAAGATCGTTGCCGGGGGCGAGAGAGGAGGCAGTTTACTTCAGAGGAGAAACTCAAGAGACTGAGGTAAACTGGTGGAAATGGAGATTTGGGGAAAACACACTCATTCGCTCTCTTGACAAGTTAGATGAGAAGATTGATTGAGTCGTTTGTGTGGAGCCAGGACACAGTTAGCTGAGCTTTACACGTACAACAAGGAAAAGAGAGAAAACAGCAGGTCCGGCTCTGAAAAAGTGAAAATATCAGCTCATTTAAATGCTATGTCTCATTTTTAAAATAAACGGAAAAAAACTCAAATAAATATTTTATCCTATTTCTAAAAAAATAAGCAAATAATAAAAAAAACAACCCTAGAATCTAAAAGTGAAGCTACTTCCTGTCCCAGTGTAATAACTTCCTGGAGTCTTCCTGATGCTCATAGTTGTATTTTATCTTTCCACATCGTCAGGCTAATCGTTTCCCTCCGTTTCCAGTGTTTTTGCTAAGCTAAGCTAACATCTCCTGGCTCCATCTTCATATTAAGCACATGGGACTCGTATCAATCTTCTAATCTAATTCTTTGCAAGAGAGGAAATTTCTCTAAATTTAGAAACTCTTCCTTGTATCCCACATAGTGTGGGTGACATCAGTTATAACTTCTATATTGTCATATACTTTTATATTATTTTGAAACTATGCCACATGTTCTTGTGAAAATCATAACTTAATGCATAGTTCTATGGGAGGGATTCAGACCGAAAACTCGGGCGACGCTCAACTGAGTTTCTCTCTCGTTGCTTTAATGTTGTCGGGACTCGAACTCAATCGTTTGAGACGTTTGCAAAGTGAAACCAACAAAAAGCTTCGCGTCAGCAGCAGATTGTTTTTCACTGCACGCACTCGGCTGCTGAAGCGGCAGAAGAGAAACTCAAAGAGCGACCCAGTCCGGTTCATAAATTGCACTCGGCCCAAGAATAGAGCACACTCTCGTATTTATATATATATATATACATATATATATATATATATATATATAAATATATATATAATATCATTTTCGCAGTATTAGTGAGGAGAGATACTGTATCTATTATTCATACTATCAAAACGAGGCATATACATTACTAATCACAATACTGTAAAATCAGCTACCTCTATGAAACAAGGACATCAACAGCTCTGAAAGTAGAAAAACACACAGTCACTCTACTAAAGTCACAACTGTTCCCGACGCTCACGTATGTACAGTGACATGGAGTTTGCCCCCTCGATGAACAAAGACCTCTGAGCGGAATGTAAAAGAGAAACACTGGCCAAGGAAAAAAAACCAAAGACGTCACATGTTCTTTTTTCTTTTTCTTCATTATTAAATAAACTCTAGCGACTCAGCTGAGCTCTAAAGAGTTAGTGCTTGAGTTTTATGGCTTTAGTTTTATCTTATTCATTTATCTTGTATAATACACGTACACGTTATCGTATAATCAACACAGTAAAAGAGACACAGTCGTGAAGGGTTTCAGGTCGTTTAAATAGACACGGAAAAGAAAAAAAGAAAAAGGAAAGACGGAGAGAAGAAGGGATTCCAAGTCGTTTGTGTTCATCTTATTCATCTTTTTGGCCCCTGGAAATGAATTGTACATAAAGATGTGATCCAACAGACTTCGTTCTGGGTCTGTACTGGCACAAATAATAACGCCTACAATCCACCTACAGATTGCAGAATTATTTAACCTTCTTCTCTTTAGTTATTTCAGAAGAAAAAACAACACCATGCCAAATCTGCTGTTAGAAAATCTTATGGACTTGGACAACCCCAGATTCCACACATTAAAAACCAAAAACATATTATTTAAAAAAGCAATAACAGTATTTAAAAACAAGTCAAACATTGGCCTTCAGATAAGAGCTGAAACGAAATGCATGGCAGATAAATGGCATCAAATTAAAAAACTGTTTTGATCACAAGGAATTAGATAGCAAGCATGCGGCTACATTTTCATCCTACATGAACTCACACACGGTACTGGACGACACACTTGCTTTTTTCAGGCGTGGAAAGGTTCTTATTAGTAATAGTCCTGTAATATTTGTACTGTATGACATTCTCTCCAATGACCCTCATGGAAAATAAATACACATTTGTTTCATTTAGAAAATATACAGTGCATCTTTTTTTTCTTTTAATCCCTTCGTCGTGTTATTAAAATGACAAATGACACCCATTTACGTACACGAGATATTTTTGCTTCGTCTCTAAAACATGCTCTTATGTACAGTATTTTGTATAAACATGCAGTATCAACGTGTATGAACTATGTATATAGGCAAAACTACACACCGATGGGTTGCTTGATTGCTTCCATGTTGCCTTTTCTTTAGTGTTGCTTCATCAACAGAAGGAAAGAAGGAAGATGGTGGAAAACAGAAACGTGAACATGGTCTGTGTTTGGTTATAAAAACAGAACGACTTGACATGTTTCCAACAGAGAGAAAGATACAAGAGCAAACAACAAAAAGAAACCGTGGTGTTGTTTAAAATGTTGACTGCTTATGATTTACATTTATTTTTACAGTCAACAGGAAGGTTTCGCTGCACACAGCTATTTCATTTTAGGTTTTCTGGATTCCTAGCAGCTTGTCAATGGCAGGATTTTAATTCCTAATTAGGTTTTTTTGTCAATTTGGATTTTGTCACGGGACGTTGGAATATTAATTTCCAAATGAATCGATGACATTCTGTGGACGAGCAGCATTAGATCCAGTCTATGTTTTGACACTTGTCTGTTGTGCCACAGAAAAATTCAACATCACAACATTTCACCACAAAAAAAAAATTAATTACACAATCACAGAACAGAATTAATACCCAGTAGTGCAATTAAATTCGACAGTTTGGTAAGCTGTGTATTCAAATACACACGGATCAGTGCCTTCTTCCAGACCGTTTCCTTTCAATCAAGTGAGGAACGTAATATGCAAACACATAAAAAGCTGAGGCAAAAACAAAAAGCAAATATAACGCACTCCCTCGCTCTTTTTTTTTTTTTTTTTAAACCCAGCTAATCTTAACATAAACAATTAAAGCTCTGGTTTCTGAGGGTACTTAAACGCAACATTTGGATTTAAAGTGCTTGAGGAATAAAAGTGTTTGAAGTAAAATAAAATGAAGAAGTACAGCTGGATCAATAAAAGAGAGAAACAAACAGGAGAAGAGAGAAATGAAGAGAACAACACCGCTGACTGGAAGGCGTCCCTGGTAGTTGAAAATTGCTTATTTTGTTACTTGGAAGGCTTGTCTCCTTTATGACTGTAAGACGGTTATAGGGATTTCTTTGAAGTAAAACCCTTGTGTCAAGTCCATGACTAATGGCAGTAGCACTGAACAAGTGAGATACAGAATCGGAGGCGTCGGGGAGGGGGGGTGGTGGTGGACTGCGGGCAGTAATCGACACTCTGTAAATATCATGTCGTTTGGTGGTTGGAATCAGTCTCTGTTGTACCCGCTCTGATATTTCTTCGCTTTTTGTTGTTCGCACGACAGACGCGCACACACTCGCACACACATGCACGCACACACACACACACGCTTATTTTCTTTTAAACTGAAAATCCATCCTTCCCTCCCTCTCCCCTGATTTATTCCATTTCATGGATAAACTAGCACTATAGTCACGAGCCTTACGTCACCGAAAAGAGAAGTTTTTGAATCCGACATTTCTTTCTCGTCAAGTGGAGGATTAGAATAATAACAATAAGAGGAATAATAAGAAGAAGAAATAACGACCCGTTTAGAAAAAAAGGCATGGAGCTTCAGTTTCCTCTCAGTTTTCCTGAGACGAAGGGTGGCGTGTTAACTAATCAAAAACGGCAGTGTGTTTGTGGGTAACCGGATATGTGCTTATCCCTACTGGCTACCCAGCTCTAGGAATGTACTTCAAACTAACAGAATCATCTAGTATGATCACTGGCAGGTGTAAAACATGGTGCACGATACACCGAAGGAATGGACCTGCTTGTGTTATCTCTCTGTACTATGGCAGTATAAAGCATTTTATTATTAAGCGCTATTCTAAGCAAACTGTGTCACTAAAGGGAAGGGGTGAGAAGTACACTATGAGTGAACATTATGTTTTATCCCCTCTATCACTAGATTCCCATATAGCACTCTACCTGTTCTTTATAGTCTCCTCTGTATTCTTATTAATGGAACCACAACCCCAATACAAAAATAGATTTAAAGGAAATCAACGGAGTCTCTGTCCATCCTGTAACTTGTCTTCTTTTGTCACGACTTAATATAACATGATGCTTTTTTTTAAACTATATTTCCCCATCATGTCGAATGGTATCTATGGATCTTTTCAAAGGTGGGAGAGGAGGAGGGTGGGAGTGGGGGAGTGGATGCAAAGTCGGAGAGGGGAGGGGGGTGATCTTCTGGAATATACACTGATATGTGGGGCCTGATGGGAGGATGTATGGGTAAGAGAGGTGCGGGTGGGGGCGATGTGGTCTCGGGGGTGTGGGGTTTACTTCTTGGCCGTCAGGGCTGCGAGGGAAGCATCCACCTCCTCCTCCGGCTGCAGCGGATGCCACTGGGCGATTGGACGACGGGGGTTGGCCAGCATGTCGGACCAGTGTTTGAGCCCGGCCCCCGTGGACTTGCTTCCCACCCAGATCTTCCCGATGGCATCGTTCTTGCCAATCTTGTCGTAGTCCAGCACGGTGATCACGGCTTGGATTTTCTGGGGGAACGAGAAGGAAAAGGATTAAAACAGGGTTGAGAACGTCATAATTATCACATGGATACAACAATCATCCAAAGTATAGACACAGAAACTGGGAACCCATGTTTTAACAAGGCAGTAATTGTAGTGATTGGTGGAAAGTGTCCAGATGCTGGTGTCAGTGGTAGTTAAACAGCATCCAGCAGAGTTTAGTCTCCTGCTTTCTAATAATTCAATGTAGATGTAGATGTGACCACTCTGATGAATTACTTACATGTGTTTTGTATTTTTGCCGATTATTAGTCCAATGTTTCTCATATGAATATTTTATAAATTTACATTTGCAGCCTGAAGAGTTTTTGCAGAATTGCTTATGTGACATTTGTGGGATGATTAAATAAAATATCAAAAATCAGTGTCAAGTTTATTAAGTACACTCTGATTAAAATCACCCTGTAGATACACAGTCCTCCATTCTCTGTGACAGATGCAGTATATTCGTGGTAATTGTTGAATTCACGACTGGCGGTGTTGTCCTCACATGCATTTATCAATAAGTTTGATAATTTCCATTTCCTTACCTGCATTTGCTCAAGAGGGATCTCAAAGCTGAAGGACTCGTTGTAGTACGGGTTCAAAGTGTTCTTTTTCACCGTCGTCTTCTTCTTCTTCAGCCTCTTTCCGTTCTGCAGCAGGTTGATTTTCACATAGGGATCTGAAAACAGAGAGAAGGCAAAGAGCATGATGAGCATGATTAAAATGAAAGAAAAACCCTGTGACGTGCATGTTTAGGCTGCAGTGCTGTAATGCACCAACAGATGGGGCCAGCTCTGAAGCCTGGAGGGGGAGGGGTGGGGGGGGTGCTGCATGGTGAGTACTGCAGCGTCAGCACGTGAGCAGAGCTGCAGTCACGCCGTGAGCATCCGCGCTCCACGCTAAGGTGACCAAAGTGCCTGGTTGTGTTAGACTGTGATACTGAAATAATGTCCAGTGTGATGATGTGATAATGAAGTGTAATATCTGATGTGATGGTTTCAGCACCTGACAGTCCACCCACGTCCATTTTCTTCAGGTTCTTAGCCTCCAGAATACAGATGGTGAGTTTTCCAGCAGTGGGGACGTAACGCAGGGAGATGCAAATGTCACCCAGCTTCTCCGGCTGTGGGGATGAGGGAAGGAGAGAGGAAGTTAGAGGACGTCTGACACAGAACAGATGTCTTTTCTCTGATGTACGATCAGAGATTCACAAACTTGCATTTATTACCTCTAGCTTGTTTTCATCCCTGTCTGTCTGTGTGTCAACAGGATTATGCAAAATATACAGAATGGATTTCCACGAAACTTGGAAGGGTGCGACATGAGCCAAGAAAGAACCCATTAAATACTGGCACTGATGCAGAGGTTTGTTTTTTTTTTGACATTTTCACGAATTTCCCAGGGAATCGTTCCTGGATCCTGAAGGATAAAAAATGTTTTTCTTACTTTTGAATAAGCAGCAGGGATTATTTACTAAGCACATCCAGTTGTGTCTGTGACTGCAAGGTAAAAAACTAGAAAGTGAGTGATTTCTTTTTTAAGGTGACCATGGGGAGGCAGCGGTTGCATCGATCAAAATCTGTTTTTCATGTCCTGATGCAGTGTGATGGTGAAAGCATCCAACTACAGACTGCCTGACTGCAGAGGAAGTTCGAATTACAAACCAACAAATCATGACCTTCATCCTCACTGTTGAACAAAGTCGACACCCTGCGCTCGTGGTTATTTTTGTGCTTTGTAAAGAGAGGCTGATTCAATGTACTTTAATGGGGCTGGTATTTCTAAACCATCTCACACTCCCCTTATGTGTGTGACGTTCGGCTTTTCTCTCCGCCCTCTGCCGCGTGCGTCTGGAGCAACAATATCACATTTGATTTCTAAAGTGAGACAACAGACCCGGCGGCGCCTCACCTCTTCTTGATCTGCGCTGTCCAGGTCTCGCCACTCCTCAATTGGCTTAGCCAGGTCAAGGGTGTTCATGGGTATTTTAATCTCTCCGATGACATCATGTTTGGAGAAGCGATCAAAGTCATAGACGGACATTACCAGAGTCTTCCCGCCCATCTCTTGGAACGGGATCTGTAAGACAGCAACCAGGGAGCCTTTAGATTCACGTGTTTCTGATCATATGAATAAAAAGTCATCCAGATTAGAACCATAAAACAATATGGGTTGTGACTTTGGCCTGGAGCTCAAATGGCCTGACTTAATAACATGCAGCTTCAGCAGAACTGGCCTGACTTTGACAAGGTAAAGCCATTTGAATTGTTTCTTTTTCTTTTTATAAAGCTGTGTCAGCAGGCCGGGTGCACCGCAGGTGGCCCTCTCCTTTAATTTGATTCTCCACCACACTCTCCTTGTCGGACACCTTCACTACGTCTGCTGCTTTTTATCACTGCCGGCCAGAAGCGTTGCAGCGAAAAAGAAATCAGAATCTCAGCAGCTGCTCAGAGAGGAGGAGCCGTTCCCCTTTTACAAGACCCGTCTGCCCATACACAGAAAGAAGAACATGTTGTTTTAATAAGTCATAAGTGATGGATGACCACACGGCGCCTCGGCTTACCTTGAAGACGAAAGTCTCATTGAAGACGGGGTTGAGTGTTTTCTTGTGGACCTTAGTGTCATACTTCTTCTTCTTATCAGGGAGGACGAAGACCTTGACGTAGGGGTCAGAGGTGCCGCCGCTGTCCATGGAGAGGAGGTCGGCAGCTTGCAGGATTCCCACAGTCAGCTGAGGAGGGAGCGAGGAGGAAGTATGTGATTAAATCTCACTTCACTGTGAACCCTTCCCGAGCTCACACTAAAACAAAATCTGAAATGAAGTCAGAGGAAATGTTGCACCAAGGAAAGAGGTACAGAAATGCATTTCATTCTTAGAAGAAAATGATAAACTGAGCAGTTAGACCGCTGCATGAAGGATAAGAGGAATAGATAATGCTTGGGTGAACATCCTTATATATGTGTACTTTTACTATAGTAAAATGTGCGAGTACTCCCTCCACCACCAAGTATTCAAGTCCTTACCTTGTTCTCCTGGAAATCGTAATCAATGGAGTACTGCAGCTTCCCCAGCTTCTCCTTCTCCTTCACCTCCTCCTCTTTCTCGTCACCAGTCAGCCCGGGTTCGACATCATCTTCCTCATCGTCGTCGTCCTGTAGTTTCTGCACAGACAGAAGGGGAGGGGGGGGGGAGGCAGGTGGCAGAGGGAGGAGTGAGAGGACGGTTCTGAGGCGGCGGCCGTGCTGAACACCAAACGTCAGGGCATCAGCAGTCGGGTTAGTCACAGCACCTACCTGCCACTTACCCCCGCTCCCCCCGGTGTTACTAGTGCAATCTGTTCATCAATGACCACAGTTGCAACCTGACTTGATTTCACTATTTCTTGGGTGACACCATTTGCTGTTTTCTTTTTTGTTCATTTTTTTATTTTTTAACCATGATCATTACATGTATGTTGAAATCTGGTAAAATCAGAGGCAGGGGAATTTTCTCCTGGACGACAAAATGTTGTATAACTGTGATTTAAATAGATGTAATGTCTGTTATTGTGCAAAGAGTGAGAGAGACAGACTGAGAGAAAGAGAGAGAACACAGAAAACAGTCATTATACAGGAGGAGGGCAGAAAAAACCAGAAACACCTTCCAATAAAATGCAATCTAATAGGATCCAATTATAAAAATGCTGATACTAAGCCTTTCTGACTGGGAATTGGTTTTTCACATTAATGCGACTCACTCGTGTGGCTGCCATTAATTGTGAAATTACAGCATGTGGTCAAACTAACAGTAACATGGGATTGAAACAGAAAACTGAAATAATTCAATGTTGCAAATGCAGCAACACAAATCCCAAATATGACTCAGCCCTAATGAGTCATGTTAAGTTGCCTGCAAAGTCTTAAAAGATTTGTGAGGACGTGTCCCACACAGAGGCAAGATGAGCCAAAGTCACACGTAAACAGGCTGGAGGATATGACTATTATGGGATATTGTTCCCAAAAGCCCCACAAAGCTAAACCCTCATCTGTTGCAGAGCTGCAGTAACTCGTTGCACTATAGTGAAAGGTGTTCTTGTTATTTTGTCCTCCCCGTGCATAGCACATTTCCAGTACAGGCCGTCCCAGGACGTCCTCACTGAGAGGGACTGAAGGACGGAGTGCTGACGACGTGATTCAATCAAACCGCTGACGCAGTTGATTCTTGACACTTTTTCTTGAAACGCTCTCAAACTTTGCTAAAGCGACACGTAAAGATTCCTGCAGCAACACAAGCTGTTTAACTTCAAGTCAGGCAACATGACTGTGTGCTGTTTCTCTCCTCCTGACAAACCAAACACTCATTAGTGTATTTACTCTGCTGCTTATTGACACTCTAATATCTGTGTTGTGATGCTTTTACTTGTTGTCCTTGCTGAATGTCTCCTATTCTCATGTATCTCTGGAAAGAGATTCAAAATCTCGATGATTAAATGATAAAATATAAAAGAGCAAATTAAAAAATATGTATTATCTTGATGCTAGAACGAAGTTAAGCAGTGCACTGACTGAGTTAACTGGGGTGTGATGAGGAAGGTGTCCTCTCTCATCGTCCATCTTGCTTTTTACGTTACACCCAGCGACCTCTTTAGAGGCGGTCATGACTAATCGAGCGCGGGCGATTTCGCTCAAATGAAAATATCAAAGTAAACCTTCATTTCGGACACTGTGTGAAGCTGCATGATATCTCAGTATGGCCTACTTTCCTATGGCTGTCTTCTTGAAAAAACACTGATGTCCTCGTAAGACTGGAGGGTCCAGCTACTCACTGATGAGCTGGAAGAGGAACAGGGCACACACACACACACACACACAGATAATACACACACCATCACACACACTATACTGTACCATACACGCCCAATATACACACACACACTCTCTCATCTGCTTACATGCAAGCTCTCGTGCATGCTTAAAAACTCCCTCTGACACACACTCATTCTCACACAATATTCCTTACACGTGGCATTCTCCATCTTTATTGTGGTAAATGCTTTTCATTCTAGCATGCCAGGCCACACAATGCAGGATCCACGTTTCTTTCTGATGGCGAATGTAAATGAATTACTTCATCGTCATTTATGATATATATATATATATATTTTTTTTACCTCTGTGTTATAGTTTTGTCAGTCCCAAAATGTCTGCGCATGTGTACTGAGTGAAATGTTCACATCCATGGAGGGATCATGCTACATTGAGAATTTCCAGTTGTTGTCAAGCGTCCAGTGGGGGTTCAAAGACAAAGACGTGGTGCGTCTGAATGGATGCCCGATGGTCAACTCAGTGGGGTGAGTTGCAAGCTCAGCACTGAGGTTTTACATGAATTGAAATATGCCGGTTGATCGTAGCTTTAACGTTCAAATCGACTGAAATCAGCAGATGACTGCAAATGTGGGCAAACATCCCGGCCCACCATTTCTCCTCAGTGAGGCCCACAGTGCTTCAGGGAGAGAGGGGGTGTCAATGACTGTCACCTCATATGTCAGCAGCATGGGTCATCCAGGAAAGTTACTCTCAAGTCAAGTTGTGGCCATTCAATGGTACCTACTGCAAGGGCATATGCTGGTCTTTGTCAATCGATTCAAACAGCTTTAACTGTCGTGGAACTCGTGTTTGCACAGTGTGTGAATTTCAGACACGAGTCAATGTAATTATCAGGAGAGGATTCATTCCATAGATATCAGCTTTTTGTCTTTGGGAACATGCTCAAAGCTCTGTTAGATTACGTTTCAGCTATTTTATTTTTTGACAAATATCCAGCTTACCCCTTGCACATGCATGTTAGTGATCTCTAGTGAGTTGCTGAGTGCACTCGTCATTCAGAGGCTCAACCATAGGATGAGTTTCATGTTCATTTCAAACCATAGACACTTAAACAGGTCGCTGTCTGTTTAAAACATTTGCAATCTCTGGATAATCAAGACATAGCAGTTGGTGCGGCATATCAGTTCAGTGGGTTTTGCGAAGCAGCTTAAACGCTCCCATAAGATTCCTCAAGCACCCGCAGCACCTAAGCTTGCAAAAAACTAAGGAAGCCATAGCACTCATTGTCATCATCATCATCATCATCATTGCAATCAAACCCTCCAAGCCCAGCCCAGCCCGCCCCCACCACCGCTCCCCCCCTGCCCTGGTCTGCGCTTACACAGAGCGGCCAGAGAGGGGTGCCGCGTGCCATCAGACCTACCGTAGGCAGAGAAGTCCACCACAGTCAAGATACACGGAGCACACATAAGACACAAAGCAGGAAGGAGGAGAGCAGAGACAAAGGAAGAGATTGAACTCACAGCAGACACCAAAGAAGGGTAATCACAGCAAATGCAGTCAGCTACACTGTAGGGAGCGTGGAAAATGACAGACAGCGGCGCCTCCTCATTAACACAATCGTATCTTGTGCAGCAGGGCCGACGTTTTTTAAAAAATAACTCCAGTTTTAGATGAAGTATCATTGTACTTTGTCAAATCATCAATCACACATGTGAAAAAATAATAATTACGGGCACAAGGCAACACTATTGTGCTAACTATTAATTTTCATTACTACTCTTTAATGACTGCGAGGGATAAATAAAAGTCATGGTTGGGCTAAACTGATACGAGTCCTGTCATTTTCCACTCAAATCCCAAAAAGCACAAGTGACAGAAAGAGCAACAATAACATTCATGACAAATACATCACATAACAAAAAAAAAAAAACAGAAGAAAAAGAAGAAGAGAGAGAGATATAAAAAAAATAATCATGGTGGGTAAAGAATGTAATTAATACCTGTGGGGAATAGACTTGATTAAAGGGTTAAACAGTTTGTGCTAGTGATATGAAAATCATCATTTTTCTATGTGACTTGACTGAAACGTGGAGAATATGACGGTCCTCCACAGTTTAGATAATTAATGGGAAACACAGCTTTGACATGGCAAGATTATAAATTAGCCTTGGCGGAGGTATATGCACTCAGAGCGCCCGGCTAGTTATATCTGAGTCAAATCTAACTCTACATTCATGTTTTCTTTCAATGCTGTTGAAAAGCTATACGCTTGTAAGACCCACAGCTGTTACATAATGGGCTCATATACAGGCTAATGTTGCTTTGCTTTGTTTACTGTGTGGGCGTCGATTCTCTCGGCCGTGACAGAACCTCCTGCTGAGAAACATACCTCTCCGCCTTTCAGGTTCTTCATTCCCATGTCACCCTTCCCCTTCTTGCCCTTCTTGTTCTTCTTCTTCTTGCAACAGCATTTCTTGATGATGCAGAAGCAGCACGTGAGAATGAGTAAAGCAGCGACCACGGCGATGGCAATGATGGCCCAGGATGGCACTGTGGGGGTGGGGGGAGGGGGGGGACATACAGATCAATGTATAAGAAGCTAAATATTTTGACATTTGACCAACCAATCATTTAGCCTGCTCCATGTCATGTTCTGGGACAATACATTTAGTAAGAGAGGTGCTGTGTTAGCAATTAGATTGGGTGAAAATTAGATTTCTCTGCCATTAGGAAGGGCAGCCAGTGATCAATACTGAATAAAGACATTATGAGGCCGCCAATGCCTGCAGCAAAGGAGAAAATCTAATTCCCAATCGTTGCTCAGGAGCGACATCGATAAAGAGTTGGTTGATCGGGACAGGTTTGGCGTTTCGGTCCGGCACTCACGTGGGATCTTGTCGATTTCATTCAGGAACTTGTTTTTGATCTCGTCGAAGGCATCGTTCTTGTTGACTGGTTCGGTGGAGTTGTCAGCAGAGACTAATGCGACAGGGGCTGGGGTCACAGTCAAGGCACTGTCCCCTGTTGGCTTAGCAGCGACCATGGGTGTTGTCTGATACCTGAACAAGTTTAACTTCATCGTTTAGGCTGCACGCACGGTCCCTGAAAAACAGCACAGAAAAACAAGACACTGCTCAATAAACCTGCTGTCATCAGCCCATTAGTGCCACTTCTTCTCCATTTGCACATTATACTCCGCTTGTGTGGAAGATATTGACGGTAACTCATTAAAGGCTTGATTCATTCAGCCAATTTCAATGTTTCCAGACTCATTTGAAAAAGAAAAATGACACACAGGCCAAAACATGTCATGAACAAATGCAGCACCACGCGAGACTGACATTCATAATGAGGCATAAGAAAACAATCCAATGAGAGAGTGATTTGTGGCGCACTCGCAAAACGCCACCTGTTGAGATTCGTAGTAGTTTTAAGGCTGAGATCTGAATCAATCCATGATCACAGACACTCAACTCCACATCATTTAACTCTTGTGTAGGTTATGAAAGGGATCAAACGGTGGCAGTAGCTCAGGTGGTGGAGAGAGACAGCTGTTGGACCACTGGTGGTTTGATCACAGGCTCCTACGTCATTGAGGAAAACACTGAACCCCACATGGCTCTTTGAAAGTGTATGAATGGGACAAAAATGGATGTCGCTCTGGGCGAAAGCATCTGACAAATAAATGTAATTAGGAGCACCGGCATGACACGTGTCAGCCTTCTGCATGGTGAACACATTTGTGAATATATTTCCTGCCTCTGGTGACACTGTTGAGAAAGTAGCCACTATTGTTTTCTTCAACATCTGCCACAAGAGCAAACACAGTCAGACAAACTGGTTTTCACACATTTGCCCCTGAGGTGTTTTGAGCCCAGTGCCAGTGACTGGGAAAGTGATGGCTTTATGATTCAAGGGAATTAACATCAGCTGCAGAAATCTTGATCAATTTATTCTACAGAGATTAAAGAGACTAATTAAAACATAAAGAAATGCAATTACAGGAGAGTATAGAATTTTGAATTCCCCCCAGATTATTGAGTGTCTCTAATCTAGTTTGTTCCACTGTTCGTTTGCAGTAGTGAGGTACACAGTAATGGAAATAAGTACGTGATGACATAAAAAAATGACATGACACATTTTTCGCATTTACATCTAAATATAAAATATTTTCTTGACTGTGTGAATGGACTTGATGAATATTTGACCAGTTCACTGATACAAAAACAGTAAACTGTTGAACAAACTAGATCATAGTCAAATAATGTCTCCATATTACATTGAATTACAAATAATAAGTAATACAAATATGTTACGGTGATATCACCTTAAACTTGTGAGATAAGGATTGATATGGATGCACAGCTACAGTAAAAGGCCAATGAACTGATCAACTAATCAACTAAAAGAGAATCAGAAAATGTTTTAAATAATTTTCAAGCATTAGTGCTGATGTGATAATGAACTGAAGTTCTTTGTTGTGTTTGTCAAGTGGAAGAAGAAGCGTATTCACACCCGGAAGAAATCGGTTCGGAACTTAAAAGGTTGGTTCCTCGCTAGAACCGAAAACCCCCCAAAAGAAAACAGAGCAGGTTTTCAACATTGAATCATGACACCACCAGTAGGTGAGTCACAGGTAAATTAGGTTGATTGATACTTTGGACTCTTTATCTAATAAACCAACTCTTGACATGCGACACTTTAGAGAGGCCAAAACCACTGTGATGGATTTTCTTAAACTTATGATAAAGCTCTTTTTTCTATGACTCAGGCAAGGTCGGAACCCTCGGTAACATCCAATCCATTTCCACTGAGGAAGTGCACACGGAATTCATTTTAGAAGATGATTGATTGGGGCAAACCACAGTCTCCTCTGCAGCCTGCCATTTTACTGTGTTTCAAACATATTTCACAGGGTTGTGAGGTCAGCGGACAATGAATTGAGATGAGTTACCTACAGTGATTATGAAAAACCACCATCAGTCATCAATTCATCACACCTTTGTTTTGTCTGGACGTTGCTCGATCCGTAGCTGAGACAACGCCGCCCGTCCGGGGGGGCGGGTGTTTAAGCGGAGAAATAAACACAACAAACGACTAACAGCCTTTCCCCAGTGAACTGTGTTTCTTCCACGGGCCAAACAAACGTTCAATCAGATCTCCTATCGGCTTCAGAAATCACAGCCTAACAAGTGGAGCCTGCCAACAGAAGGATGAGTGATCGGTGAGAGCTCGATTCAGAGAAGTAGAAAAGCACGACAAGCATAACAACAAGAGACTTCTACTGCCACAGATTTTATTAAAGTCAGGGGTAAAAGTAAAAATAGAGACATTTCCCCAAATCCAATCCTCCAAGTTGGTGCCACAGGTTTTGTCCTTATTTAGTGTCATATATTAATTATCTAAATTAAAACTAACAGTGAGAGGGAGGGACGTTTATTATTCAGGGGGCAGGACCAGTTCAAAATATCTTGAAATATATGCATATTGAAATATCTTGTTCCAAATGACCAACACCCTTGTGATCATATTCTGAGGTGTGAACTGAGCTAATGTACATGCATTGTTCAGGTTATTGAGAAAATGACTCACACTCAATAAAACAGCGATCACAGGCGTCAGCGTCTCCGCTCTGTGAGAGACATTACTGTAGATGTTGTGACAGTGTCGAAAGCCTCCGCGTACATTTGAGGTTTATGTGCGTTTCACCCTGATTGTCCCTCACATCAGGACAAGCCAGACCAATTAAATTAACATTCACGGATATGTGCTCCAACATTTTTATCTCCTCCACTCTGAGGGTGAGGACGGACAGAGAGGACACAGACCTGCAGTATTGTTTTATTACAGACATTAGTCCTGCTTCCCGGTAAGCTCTCAGTGCTCACTGCAGACAAATCAACTGTATTAACCACTTTTGCTTTTTTTAAAATGTAGTTTTACACCTTCAGAGCACATTAACAAGGTACTTAACACAATTTTAGCAGCTAGCCGTCAATGGAAGCCATATTAACCATATTTAACTCTGTTTCCTGGGACAGTAGGTGTTTAGTTTAAAAAGGCACAGAGGAAATGATTTCATTGATGTAGACTGACTTCCATCTCTAGAGTCTGAATGCTTGTAAAGCTAAAATCAGAGGGACATACATATGCATATTAAGAAAATAACTTGATGTACAAACTATATAAACACCGGACTTTTCACTCTCAGAGCCCGTAAAACACAATTCAAAGAACTTGTAATAAAGGTGAAAACTTGAATCTGTTGGTTCAGGTACCAGGGATTTTAACTGGGAGGTTGGTGATTCAGTACCTGAACAGATTCAATCTGGGAGAGGAAGTAATAGAGCTTGGCCATTGCTCATTACCACCACTCAGATGCCCTTGAGCAAGGCTCTTAACCTCCATCTGCTCCAGTGGAGCTGCGCAGCGGCTAATATGTCAAACTGTGGTTGTGTTGAATCTGTAATTGTGCAAAAGTTGGACATTTGCTGAAACAAGAATTGATGGAAACCTTCCTAGAATGAATAAAGAGTTTAAAATAGAATTATTATACAATATTCATTTCATATAATAGTTGATTGACTGAGATCTGTGGGAGTTTTGAACTCCCAACTCCCAATGTGCGTCTCATTTTGTTAGTGTTTGACTCATCATAATTTGCTAAAACAAAATGGCTCAGCTCCATTGCCCAGAGCGGAGCGACGACGGCCGCCGCTTATCACTAGACACACTGCTCCGAGTTGGACGAGGATCAAGAACTTTTATCTTTGCACAAACAAAATGGGAATAGAAACCCCTCGTACTAACACATTTACTAAAAATCTACTGTCCTTAAATATGTCTCTTAAACTCTGACGGCCGAGACACATGAAGGAAGAAACAATATTTGTTAAAAAATGAAAAATCTGTTTAAACAGAGAGGATATTGAATGCTGGATGAATTTAATAAACACGTGCAGTGTTCAGACTGATTTAACAACTACAGAATCAGAAAAACGTGTTCATTGCAATGCAAAGCAGTGGTTAGCACTGTCATCTCAATTAAGAAGGTTCTGAGTTCAAACCTGATGACCGTTAACCTGGAGTTTACATGTTCTCTACGTGTCTGCGTGGTTCACTCTGGATACTCTGGCTTCCTTCCACAGTCCAAACACGTGCGTGTTAACTGGAGGCTCTAAATTTCATGTTCGTGTGAATGTAACAGTGAAATGTTGTTCGTCCATATGTGAGCCCGGTGATAGACTTGTCCTGGCGGTGCCCTGCCTATCACCCAGTGTCAGCTGGGATCGGCTCCAGCTCACCCTCAAAGGAAAAGCCATGTAGATAAGGGATGGATGCGATGCAACAGAAGTGAAAATATTACATCAGGTCATTTTAGGGACCCCCCCCGAACAGCTATTTCTTATCTTCACCTTCTCCTTTATGATTTGTAGTAAAGATTTCAGTAGCATCAGTATGTGATAACTTTTAACGTGGTTCTTGCATGAAGCGTATTTTTATGGATTTCATATGACTTTTTTTTGGTGATATTTTTGTGCTTTTATTCCAGACAATGGAGAACTGAAGGGGAAGAGCTCCAACAAAGGTCTCCAGCTGGGCTCCACGTTACCTTTCATCCCCCCCCCCCCCCCCCCCCCCCCCCCCCCCATTGCCCCTTAGCTATGGGGGTGCTCTTTGCTGCACAGTCACGGTGCTGAACTACATTTATTTAATACAATGCAGAGATTTATTTCTATAAATACAAAAAGAAAAGTAGAAGAACACTTTAAAATACACATGCACACCCACGGATTATCACATCATATGTTGTCTTGATCATCGTTATAGAAACATTTAAATATGCCCATGGGCTACGTGCTTTTAATTAATTACCCAGCTCCTGTCAAACCCTAATGATAATAATCATCGCTCTCACATGTAAACACACGTCTGAGAAATGTCCTTTCCTCATTTGACGTCACGCGTGTGTCGGCTCACTGACCACAGAGTGTGACATTCATCCCCAGCGAGGGAAACCCCGGCCTGCAGAGGAGCAGTCGCCATTTGTGGTGGGATTGTGTTTATTAAGGGCTTATTAGCAGTCGGTTCGGATCCAAGAG